AGGGAGTGAATAACTTCGGAACTCTAGGCAATGTCTGTAGGGAACAAAAACGAAACAAACAATGAGCCCGACTCTACACCTAGAACCGAGACACGCGAAACGCCCACATAGAAAAGGGACAAGGTGTTGGACTATAACCCGACTTTGATGGGGATAGCAGAACACTCAAGTCACCCTGTGTACCAAGACAAATTTTCCCAGAACACCTTGCGTTCAATTCAACCCACCAATAGCGATGAGGAACAAACTCTGGAACCACAATAGTGAACGGGATCTTAAAACTCAAGAGAAACTTCAACAGTGGACCAATCAAAGAAAATGGCGGGAAGACATAAGGATTGGACATGGACGGAAAAACCCGCAAGTCTTGACTGAAGACATTCACACCGTTGGAGTCTGGGCTTGGAAAAGGAGTAAAATGCGGCAAGGAAAACCCATCTTTGTTCTTCATTACATTTGAGACATCAAGTCAAACGAATGACCTTCAACTCCACCAAACTCTTTATCGACCCTCTCAAAAGCAGACATTGACAATTTGGAATCCACACGTGACATTGTCCTAGACGGAAAATCGGCCACATTTTCCTTAGATGGTACATAGGATAAGTTCAACTGAACATTACGAGAAGATAGAGCAAAATAAAGTCGTTTTGTAGCTGACGTTAACTGGGGGGATCTCCTGCTGCCAGACCCCTGCCACGCACCTAATACTGCCATACTGTCAATAGAAGCATCAATTCGGCAATCCTTAATTCCGTCAGGAAGAGCTTTAATAGCATACAACAAAGCTAACATTTCCTTTGTAGAAATATCGAGACACAGTTCCTCTTGACTCCAATAATCTCGAAAAATCTGATCATCCGAAGGTGAATGAACTGCCCAACCCCACCCATAACCGGACGCATCGGTAGAAATCGCAATACGCACATGCTTCTCGTCTCTCCACGGAAGAGTGTCCTTCCAGTCGTCAAGGTAACGCCAATGCGAAATTTCCTCCCTCAAAGCGTCGGTCATAGACACTTGCCCATCATCCAAGCCAGAAGCGATCGCTCTACTCATTTCTCTAATGAACAATTTCGCGGCTGGAACAGCCAAAGAGAAAGATATGCATTTCCCCTGAAATCGTTGTAAAGTTTTGATCCAAACAGTTTTCTTGCAGGCAAAAATTTTCTCCCTAATTAAGGCCCAGGACTCAATCTTACGGCGCGGCACCAAAAACGATTGTCGAACGGAATCCACGATCAGACCCAAATACCCCAGGGATGTGACCGGCACAAGAACCGACTTCTTGATACCAATGGTATAACCGAGATCAACCAACACAGAAAGGACAACGAATATGGCACCTGTAGCTGCCAGCAACCTGAACTGCAAAGATCTGTCCGCTGGTAATATGGACCAAGACCCAGTCGGTCGCAAAAGCTCTCCATTTAAGCGATCGTCTATATAGAGAGAACAAGGAATCCCTTGAGCTCTCAAGAAACCTGTGGCGGCCAGACCAATGGTATGATAAACATAAGGGGAGATTTTCCATCCGAACGGAAGAGTCGTACAAACAAACCACAGGCCACCAAAACTAAACCCAAAGTATGATTGCGAGGACTCTGTCAACATCACGTGATCATACCCGGACTTGTCGTCGCACTTGGTCATGAACGATCCGGGGTAAACATACCTAGCCACTTCACTCAGTTTATCCAGGGAAAACGGCATATCTTTCATCCAAAGGTTTAGAAACCTCGCGTCAATACAAAGTCGAGGCTTCGTAGGTTCAATCGTGAGTGGCAACACAAGATGGGGGGGATCATCGACACCCACTACCCCCCAGACTCTAACAGCGCCGGTTAAAACACGATTCCGAATCTCCTTGGATATAAATTCCGTAAAATTTTTACAGTTTACATGATTCGGGAAAATCTTCTTAGGTGGAACAGTAGACGAATATTTAGCTCTCTTGAAAACTCCCGCAAAAGGTCTTGAAAAACTTAAGATGTCGACTTTATTTCTAATCCAATCTAGAATACAGTTCCTCAACGGATGACCCTCAAGTACCAGCTCCCAGGCGGCTGAATTACGGTGAAGACCACCTGCCACAAAGGAATCCGGATCCCTTAAATGTAAAGTCCCCAGATCCGGAACCTTACCAGATGAGATAACACTTTCCCAACACACAGCCGCACCCCCCTGAACGGGAACCCCAGTCATATCCACCCATAGGGTCTCGTTTCTTGGTTTAATTGCTGTTGTCTGTAGTTGAAATTCCGTAAGAACGTAAAAGTTATCCACAGCAGCTTCACGCTTAGTACCACCCAAAATCTAAGGAAAAGAGGGCAAAAAGAGAGATCACCTATGGGAAGACCTGGGGTTCCCGAGCAGGAGGGAGCAGCCTCAATTCGCCTGAAAACAGGTCGTCTGGTGGTCACCATATGTGATGAACCAGCAGGAGCTACTCTACCCCGATCCAGAACTTACAAGAGTGAATTAAAATTGAAACAACAACAGACACCGATTGACACAATGAAAAGGGAGCCTTTAATGCCGAGGAACACACGGCATAAATACTGGAAACTGATCAAAAAACATTGGGAAAACGCCTTAATCCTGTCAATACATTCATTGTTTTTGAGGTGCCTCAACTCCTTGATTATAAAGGCGAGGCCTCTTAGGCTGTGGACGCGAGGAACAGAACCTCTGATAATGCCCATATAGGCCACACTGAAAACACTGGACTTGTGATCTATCCCTGCCTCTCCCCCTTGGCATGAAACGATTTGCACCAACTCCAGGCACTCGCAACGCTTTATCTACGGCAGCAATCCGCTTGAGTACCACTTCATCCTCTTTATCTCCTAAGAGGGCTTCAAGATAGCGCTTAAATTGCATGTTTGAGGCCCACATTTTATTTTGCATTGCTGTTAGCACTGCAGAATAAAATCCAGCTCTCGCGTGTTTTGTTTCCTTGGCCACAATCTTCAGATTCACTAGGTAATCAATTGCCTGGTCCTTCTGGAACAACGGAGAACGTATTAGGTGCTGTAAATCCTCCAACACTGATTCAACAGATTTCTTTTGGGAATCTTCCAACTTCTTAAGTCTCTCTAAGACACGAGCAAGATCACCCTCCTCCTATATAACGGAATTCAAAAGGCAAGATAAAAAATCACTGATCCATTCATTTCCTTTCTTTTCATTACTTAATCTCATAACAGATCAAGCACAGTATAACACAGGCTGAAAAAGAACAACACCGATTAGATTACAAGTTATGAAATATTACATTACATTAAGTTAGATTAAATTAAATAAAAATTAAATTAAATTATCAAAACCTCAAACTTCCAGCAATAACGATGAACGCTCCTAGCCTCACAGGCCAAAAAATGTTTTAAAAACACACAACGGCAGAGCAGTCTTTCGTTTTTTTTTTTTTTTTTACATACCGTACAACTAAAAGCTACTACACGTAAGCTTGCACAAGCAAATGAACGGCGACTGATGCTCAGGCATCACAGTCCAACGAAGCAAAGCACGGCAACAGAACTTTCTACATCAGCAAGCAATTTCTTAAACGAGGGGCTACAAAGTAAAATTCAAGCCACAAAAACAATAAAGGCTAAAGGAGAAAAAAAAATTTATTCTTGCGCGCCAGCATCACACTACCACAACCGAAGGTGAACATAAAGCATTTCATTCCAAAAAGCAAAATACCGAAACTATTTTCGACCCCAGAAGCGCAAACAAAAAATTTTTAAATGACAGTGCAGACAAAGAAACTTTCACGGCCTCGCAAGCAAAGAAAAAACTCACGGCCTCGCAGGCAAAGAAAAAACTTTAAAAGCCCCGCAGACAAAGCAACTTTCGCGGCTACGAAGACAAAGAAAATTTCTCGGCCTCCTAAGCAAAGGAAATTTCCACGGCCCCGCAGGCAAATAAATCCAAACGGCCTCTCAGGCAAAAGAAAAAAAAACTTCCTACACGGCCCCACAGGGGACGAAAACTTTAACGGCCTCGCAGGCAAAGGAAAACTTTCTGCACAGCCCCGCAGGCAAAGAAACTTTCACGGCCAAAGAAACTTTCACGGCCACGCAGACAAAGAAAACTTTCACGGCCCCGCAGGCAAAGAAAACTTCACAACCCCGCAGGCAAAGAAAAAACTTTCACGGCCCCGCAGGCAAAGAAAAAACTTTCACGGCCTCGCAGGCCCCGCAGGCAAAAAAACTTTCACGGCCCCGCACTGACAATTTCACATCTACAGAAAGTAAACCAAATCTAAACTCTACCGATAAAAATTAGCCACTGAAATATAATCAACCACATGGTATCCGAAACAGAAAAAGATGCATACCTCTTGATTCTGAGCTTGTTGTGCCAAAGGTTGGTCCTGAGCTTGCTGCGCCACGGCAGGTTCGCCTTGAGCAGGTTGAGGATTTTGAACAACTTGAGCTATCGCTCTACCGGCAACGGCTTGGGGAACTTGTTCCGCCATGTCGGATTGATCCGTCGAAAAAAGTTATAGAACGCTCCAAGCAGTACACAGCCCAAGGCCTCAAGTGAAGTGACAAGGAGTGATACAAAACAATCTATTATATCCAAAATCCCTAGGGACTAATTACCAATGCTAATTGAGTTAGCATAGTAGCTGCAAAACTTCTTTACTCTCCGACGCGTTTCGTGTAACTGTCGTAGACTTCTTCAGGGAGTTTTACAAGTTGAAACTAAATGGCTGTATTTATAAGCCATAGTTAGAGGCTATACGGGGGCCAGTGACCATAAAGGCTTGGCCAAACATACGAGCAGGAACAGGCGAAGTTTTGCAAAATTTGAAAATTTTTTGGTTTTAGAAAATTTTAAAAATTATTAAAAAAATTAACTAAAAATTGTTTTTAAAAACATGACATCCGTTCCGTGTTTTAGGATTTGGGATCATTTTTCGCCGTTCCGTGTTTTAGGATTTGGCGCCGTTCCACCGTTCCACCGTTCCACCGTTCCACCATTCTAGCTTTTTGGGTCACCTCTGAGAATTTAATTTGGATCGGGTTCTTGTCGAATTATGAGCAAACTACTGTATTAAGTTGTTACTGAAGAGCTTTCGCATTGGCGTAGGAGTTGATACGGTGTAGGATTTGATACGGTAGGTGAGAGTGTTTTACTTTGATATGAAGCAGACGGAAACTAGAATAGACTGTGTTATTACTTTGAGAGGAGGGCTGTAATGAACGTCCGAAGAAGACTTTGATTACGTAATTGTTTTGTTTTGATTTAAAAGTTCTGTCTTGTTTCTTTGTCGAACTTACGCCCCAATTTTCTTAGCGTACTATTGTTCATAGTTTGAATTCCCTACTTAGCTAGCATTCCTGATGAACCAGTTTGCAATGGTACGCGTGAACTACACCCTTATAGTGGTACGCCCTTTAAGAATCGTGTTAGTTGGAGTTGGGAGATCGACGGAGAAAGATCTGAGTTATTTTTACATAAGATTGTTCCACTTACGTAACGTTGCAGTTTTTCAAGGCCCGTAAAGACAGGATCAGACGTAAGTCCTAGCCTGTTGTATTTAGTTTCCTTTTCTTTTCGATCTCGCCTGTTTTGTAATTAGTCTCAGCCCATTTGTTGATCTTGTACATGGCAATTTCCCCTTTTTAGCATGATAGTCAGACGATAGCACTAGACGTTGTTGAATCAACTTGTGTTGTCAATTCCTACACTGTGGTTGACGCTCCCCAAACTCCAGTTCACAACACCCCGTGTCCGCTGCATTGGGTACGCGACAAGGGCAATTTTCTTTTAATCGTCCGGTGCTAAAATTCCTTTGAGAGACCTCGGTTGTTAAGTCCAAGGGTTATACTTGGTTGTTCTTTACTCTACTGGTACGGAATAAAACAGAATAATTGAACGCGACTGGAAGTAGACAGCAACGATCTGCTGACTGTAGTCATCGCCAGACCCCTGCTTTCTGTTTGTCTGATTTTAATGTTGCTTTGTACCGTATCAACAGTATTAATTCAATTTTCAGCATGATGACACAAAGCAAACCGAAGCTGTACTGTGCCTGGTTCTGTCCATTTGCACACAGAGCATGGATCTCAATGTTAGCAAAAAAAATTGATTTTGATTACGTAGAGCAGGATCCTTACAACAAGTCTGCTGAGTGGCTAGCCATAAACCCTCGTGGATTAATACCATGCATCGTTCACAATGGCAAGTCAATCTATGAGAGCCATATTTGCATTGAATACGTTGACGAGGCCTGGCCTAACGCACCAAGGCTACTGTCCCGAGAACCTTATCAGAGAGCTAAGGCACGAATGTGGGGAGATTTTATCATAAAGAAGCTTATTCCACCATATTACAAATTCCTTATGAAGCAGTCTCGGGAAGAGCAAAATGAATACCGAGAAATATTTTTAGAAAACATATTGGAATTTTCTCAGGCAATGGATCAGTCAGGCCCCTTTTTTCAAGGAAAGGAACTTGGATATGTTGACATCATGTTTGCCCCATGGGCTTCAAGGATGTACATTCTGGAACATTACCGTGGCTTTAAAATTCCACAGACTGAAGAATACAGCAGATATAATGTATGGGCAGAAGCAGTAATAAATCACCCTTCAGTAAAAGCAGTTCAGGCAAATAAAGACAAGGTTTTGGCAAATGCTAGGCCTTATGCTGAGGGTAATGCCAAATCTGAGCTTGCAGATGCTGTTCGCAAAGGGTCAACAATTCCTTAGAAATCCATTCAAAGAGTAATAGGAGGATGTTTTCTTGGTTGGGTGGTGATGTGTCACAACAAATAGTGTAATTTTGGACTGAGAAAAAGAAAATGTTTAATTATATGTACCAACAGGAATGGGTGTTAAAGAAAACACTTATTACTACGATCAGCAATTTAATGTTACTGAAAATACTTTGCCAGTCCTGTAATCGTGGCTGTCAGCTTTAACTTTGTATGTGTCATACTCTCATCCCAGCATAGTTCACATATTGTTAGTTGCTTAGAATAGGAATTAGGTAGAGTAACAAATTCATCTGGTACATTTTTTGACTTTTTTAAGACCTGTGTATTCTGTGTTAAACTTCTACAATATTTTCTGTGGGATATTCTCAGACCACTCACAGCTAAAGAAGAAAGTACTCTAGAACATAAACCACAAAATTTATTGAACATTTATTTTTGTTTGCTATACATGTAAGTTTTGGCATGTGTAAGGTCTAACTTTTGAAATTCTGAAATGTGAAGTTATCTTCAGATTGTGGAGTTGAGATTTAACCTTTCAACTCCCAAAAGTGATTAACAAGTAACTTCTACTAAAAATATCCAGTGCGCTATCCAGCAAACAGATAATGTTAATACTCAAATGTATTGGCTAGAAGTTGTTATCTTCATCTAACTCCAAATTTTTGCAACTTATTTCCAAGAAAATGTGTAGAAGTTAGAGGGGAGAATTAACAATCAGATCTTGGGAGTTAAAGGGTTAATACAGTGTAATCTGTCTTGACTGTGATCAACACAAAAATGAGGCAAGCTCTCTAGTTTTAAGACAATTTTATCATCAGTTGAAATACATTTGAAACAGAGGCCTGGGAGTGTTACAGCACATAACAAACCAAAATACTTATCTTTCAGGGCTTAGTCACCTTTGGGTTAAATCTTTTCACCTGCCAACCTATTCATACCATTAAATTTTGATGCGTGGATAAGATTCTGCTGTTTAGGCACGTCTATTATAATTATGCTTAAGCACATGGATTTGACTAACAAACAGAAAAACAGGGTAAAGGATAGGGTAAACACTGAAGTTTTGAGAACCCGAGGAGAGGGAATCACCAGAGTCAAGTCATCACGAGAGTCACCTGACCCTGTTGGTGACTTCCTTGGGCTGTCAAGACTTCAACAGTCTTTTTGAGGATTACTCTCAACCCAGTGATCTGAAAGCACCATCTCCTGGGCATGTTGTAATGAAGCAATGCTTAACCAATAGGTTCATTTCTACTTTCCCTTGAAGGTAAAAAAAAATTACATGGTCTGTATGCAGAAGGTTTCCATCTACATTACAATGACAGATAATTAACATTACTGCACACACATATCAAGAGCTATTAGATGGATTTATGGGGCAAGACTTTAATTCTGAAAATTCCAGCCTCAGTGCATGATCAAAGTGAAATAAGAAGGTTAAGGGTTAGGCCCTTCCTTTCTGATGGGATCAAAGTGAAATACCAGTAGGATGATTAAGGCATTGTCCCTCCCTTTCTGATGGCATCAGCAACTTGAGATGTAGCACTGGCATCTGCATATCTTTTGTAAGAATCTAAAAGTTTGCTTTCATCTTGCAATGTAACCTTCACAGCAGAGGCATTCCTTACAGCTTCACACCAGATATGGAATCTTTTGAACTCCTCACTTTTGGGAACTTCAAAGCAACGATAATGCTTGAGAATAAAGAACCTTACTGCATGGGGAGCCAACATGATGTCAACATAGCCCAACTTTTCACCCTGGAAGAAAGGTCCTTTAATATCCATGGCTTTCACAAACTCAAGTAAGTGACTCATCAATTGAGATTTAATCTCCTCTTGCTCAGACTCGTTTTGTTTCATCAAGAGGGCATAAAAGGATGGAACAATTTTCTTTCCAATAAAATCTCCCCAAATTCTTGCATGGGCTCTGTAATAGGGATCTGCAGGTAGCAGTCTTGACCCTGTTGACCATGTTTCATCGACATACTCAATGCATACTGAACTTTCATAAATTGTTTTGCCTTTATGAACAATAACTGGTACCATTCCTCGAGGATTGATGGTCAACCATTCGGATGTTTTGTTGTAAGGGTCTTGTTCTATGTACTCAAATTCTACACCTTTTGCTACCAAAGCAATCCAAGCTCTTTGTGCAAAAGGGCAAAACCATGCAGAGTAAAGCTTTGGCACAGATGCTATAGCCATCGTCGGAACCGGTTCTGAAAATATCTACAGATATTTCGGAGAGATTCCTACGTAACTCGTTCCCAGGGATTTCACGGTCAGTTCTCAAGATTAACAGCATCATGGTGATGCTGATGACCAGAGAAGACTTGTGTGGATGGCGGAGACATTACAGGTAGAACCTTGCCTCCTGTAGCCCCCATGCAGGTTGGGTGAACCAAAGTGCCTAAACAAGTCTAGGGACTGAGTGCTGCAAAATTCGTTCCCACAACCAACGATGACATTTAAAATATCGGGGAAAGACAAAGTTCACAATTAACCTTGCAATTCACATCCACAATAGATGCAGTATTTCTAAACAATGACCACCGTATACTGGTAAGCCTGACTCTGTAATTAGGAATTGCGCTCGATGACGTATCATCGATGTTCTCGATGTCACTCATTCTTTCTCTTAAACAATTGTAGAGGTTTAGTTGACGAGAGTTTTTAAGTGAAATTATTACTTAGTTGACTTTCAAGATTAGGTGTAAGCACCCCTTAACCCTTTAACCCCAAGATTTCATTTGTAATTCTACTTACTGTCTACCATATAGTTCTTGTGATGTTTGTTTGGAGAATTTGGTCTTGGATCGACTGATAATCCCCAATTATTAATTCTCTTTATTCTTATCACTTGCCTGCTTGATATTGTATTGATATTCTAAGGAGAAATTCTGTCTGCGTCACTCATGGGAGTTCAACGGTTATTCCCTCCCCTTCACTCCCTAACCAGATGTTTAACAGGGAAAAAGGAAATGAGTGTTAAGTTCAATGTCATTCACGTGAAAACTGAAAATTACGAGGCAGTTGCAGATTTCACTTCAAAACACATCCCAATCCTTGAACTTGAATGCTCAACCTTTAAACACAATTGGAGAAAGACTGAAAAAACAAAATCACAGTTGACTGAAAATTTATTTTGATCCTTGACAATGTTTAAGTCTACAGTCTACTTCTAAAACGCTTATGGAGTAATTTTTCTAATACACAGAACTATCCTCCAATAAGAAAAAAATTAATCTAAATAGCAACTGAAAAGGATAAGCTAAAATCAGAACTGAACATGGAGTTCCCATCAGCCTGAACTTGTGGATATCAAAGGAAAACTAATTTCAAAGCAAATAACCATCATTCAATAAAATGTCAGAGAGCAGTAGAAAGTTACGTAGGTTTAGCTTTGCTCTTGATTAAGACCACCCTGCAGTCTGCTGTACTTGTCCCTGCCCAGCATTTGTAGCTTGTTGCTGGTAAGCTTGGTAGGATGGCTGAGAGTATGTAGTAGTTTGGTTGTACTGTTGCTGTTGCATGAGAGGCTGGGGTGGATTTGAGTGGGAAGGAGGAGGACCTGGTGGAGGTGGAGGAGGTGCCTGGTGTGCATATGAATTGTTGTAATTATTGTAGCCTCCTCCTCCTCCTCCCATCATATTGTGCTGTTGTGTTCCCATATGGTTCCATGAGCCATTCTGTTGTGAGTGACTCCTTACCCCACGAGAGTCTTGACTTCGGTTGGAACTGAATGACTTGTTGGCACTGGACATGTGACTGCCACCTCTGCCAGAGGAACCCCGACCTCCGCCTGAATAGCTTGAATGTCCCCCTGATCTGCTTCCAGTACTACTCCTTGAATCACTGCGGGAATCCCCATAGTTGTTCCTGTTAAAGTGACCACTATTCCCCAGTGCAGATTTGTCACGAAAACGGCTTCGCCCTAAAGAAAAATAATAGAAAAACTAAAGGACATCTAGTGCCAAATTTGGGAAGTTCAAGGTGGCACAATGGGAGAAGTGGAGGGGGAGAGTATATGAAAGGCTTCATTGCGTGATATTTAAGAAATATAGGATAAGTGGCACATTGACAACCCCTGGTTAAATGGACGACACAATACACGAGTTTTATTTACTGTTGTCTTCTAAGTAACTTAAAAATAGTTCACCAACCTTACAATACAACCAAACCATGCCTAAATAACCCACCTGACCAACATTTTACTTATTTAAAGAATAAACTTCTCTCTCTTTTAATCAATGACATGTAAGCTACATGTGGCAACATTTAAGCAGAGGAGCAACGTACAGTAGGCTTGCTTACCTTTACCAAACATTCCCTTTGCTTGTTCTGCAAGTGCAATTAGCTTTGGGTTAACATGTTGGTTTGCTTCCTTCAAAATGGAAATTAAATCTTTAGCCTGCTTGGCATTTCCAACAGTGAAGAAAGTGTATGAGGTCCCAGTGCGATCAGACCTTGCTGTCCTTCCAATGCGATGCACATAATCTTCTGAGCAACTTGGGAAGTCAAAATTGATGACAAATTTGATGTCGGAAATATCTATATAATGCAATGAATCGACATCTTGTCATGAAATGAACACTAAGATGAGCTTTCAGTTAAAGAGGGCATCAAAACCAAATGCCAGCTCCCTAATCCTAATTCTCACAAGATATTAGAAAAGAGCTCCTAGTACTCATGTGAAGTAGATCGTTTGAACCCAACAGAGATAATTGTGTAGTCTGATTGTCCAAGTAAGAGTAGGCCTGAAAATAACTGCTGTCACTAGTGATGACTGACATTTCAACCTGCACTAAGTCATCACCAGAGTAAAGGTGAGAGTTGTTTGTCAAGAAAGAATCATTAGTCTTGTCTGTGGAAATCACCTGGTCAGTTCTACTGTGATGTGGTTGGCATAAGACTCCAGAAACTTCTGTCCACCTAATTGATCAGTTTTTATGTCAGAATTGATGGGTTGCCTTGTTTAGTTTGTTCATGTGTAAATGTTGTGAAGACAACATTTGTATGATGCCACTAATTGATGACAACAACTCCTGGCACCATACAGATGACTTAACAACTTGTACCAGTCATAACTATAACATAAGCCAAGTTCAGGACTACTCTTACTTAAAAGATCAAACTAGACTAACATGGTTCACAATTCCCATTTCAATTCTAATAGTTTCCACCAGTTTTCAAAGCAGTGCAGAACTATACTAAACATACAATTTGACCATCAATTTGGTACTTCTCCAAACAAACTTGCCTGAATACTAGAGCTATCATTTCTGCTCTGGGAGCCGGCATAAAAAAATATTCACCAGGTTACACTTGAAGCAGGAACCAAACCATGACTCAGCGCGTCCAGATGATTGGGAGGGAAGGAACAGAAAAGAGGGTTTCTCTTTGACACATTAAAAGCAATGCAGGCATATCTGCCTGCTGCTTAAGGTGAACAGAATGCAAACTTTGTGGGCCCTTTTGATTCAGCACTACATTGCGACACAACATAGAAGATATAGGATAAGGTGCAACAGAATTAGTAAATTTACCTGCATGTTTTTTAACTCCATTTTAGTTACATTAACGTGTGCATAAGAGACTTTCTGTATACAAAACAGAGAAATTTTGACCTAATGCACTGAACTTATAAGTCAAAGCCCAGTGCTTTATTAATATTGACATCTTCATTAATTGTTTGGATGGAAAATAAATACTAAGCTGACAGCAAGTTGCCTTTGATGTTTTAGCACTGGAGTTGTTTTCAAGGAAATAGTAAGTCAGAGCACTGGACTTTGACTTAAGAGCTTGAGGTTGTACAGATAGTACATTTATGCAACAAAAGCTGAATCTGCCAGGACCCACAAATGTTTACATTACTGTGGAACCTAACTCCATCTGTACAACCATCAAACACAACTCCACTGTTTGCTCTTTCTTCAACACAGTTTAATTGAAATTCAAGCTTTGATTCTAGTCTCATGTTCATGGAAGCACAGATAAATGAGACCAGCAGCCAGCATTCTAGATAGCAATAGCTATTCATGAATGCAATTGCCACCACAAGTAACTAAAAAGAGGAGGCACTATATTTTCCTACCAGAACACAAACTTTTACCACAGCAAACTAAAAAGTATCTGGAGCAATAAATGTTCTCCTATTGTGAAAATTCTATTTTGCCAGTTGTTTCTGTAACTTGAGAAATTTCCTGAGATGTAGGATATTTTATAGCTGTATGCATAAGTGCTTCTGACAGTGGCCCACAAGATTGCAAAGTAAAATTTATTTTTTACACTTTTTATGGAAAGATAATTCTGGTATCTATGCAAGCTAAACATCTTAAAAAAGAAGGAGTTATTGAAACTGCTCCTTTCCCTCCAGCTCAGCTGACAAACCAAGGTCATGCACAGTTCCCTCCAATCAAGGAAAACAGTAACCACAGCAAGGATGATGAACCCTCGGATTAAAAAGAATAATCCTACTCTGGGATTAAAAAATAGAATGTAGAGTTAGTAAATAAGACAGTTGAAAAAAAGACCGACACAAAAGCCACTACACTCCAGAAGATTCATTTATGTTTTATCACTGTAATAAAACTAATTAGATAGCTAATTAACATAGGTAAAAAAAAAAGAAACCCAAAATTTTCACTGTGCTGGTTAACTAGTAAGAAAAACATATACAAACCTAGTCCTCTGGAGGCAACATCAGTAGCAACCAGAATAGGAGCATTACCTTTCCTGAACTCTGAAATTTAAAAGACAAAGAAGTTAAACTCTAAAAGGTTCATTTTATTTGTAAATACACTATTTAGGCTAGCACAACTTGTTATCTAGTCCTGAGAGGGCTGTTAAACCCTATCCCAAACATTTCTAAACATTCCTTTCCATTTTAAGTTCCATGACAGGTTTATGTAATAAATTATGTGGATACTTTTAACTCTTAATGCATTTATCCTGGCTCTTTAATTCAAAAATAAAATTTTGTCCAGTCAACCTTTATGCCTAGCAGCCACAGGACAAATTACAGTTCCACAACATGAAACAACAAGGAGTGTTGCTTCCCTCCTAAATGAAGGCACATTCATCACAGACTATCCCCAGCAATCCATCAAGTTTCCCTGAAAGTTTTCCAGTTCCTATTTACAATAGTGAATGGAGGAAGGCAATAGAAAAGTTTAGTGTCTCTCCCAGGGACACGCCTCATTCACCTAATCAAGGCTTAAAGCCACACATACCATTTAATACCCAATCTCTTTCAGGCTGTGATTTGTCCCCATGAATGCACATTGCTGGCCATCTACATCAAGGGAAGTAAACAGATAATTGTAATTATTGAACAAATATAACCGGAAAGACTAAAACACAGCAGACTACACATTAGCAGAGAGCATCAGTAACGAGGAATTCAAAATTGTCAACATGAAAATTTCAGGAATGAAATTTTAATTCATCAGCTGCTCAATCGATCACATAACACCTCCTTCCACATGTATTATGTAGAAAGCAAGACATACCCATCTCTACGCATCCTTCTTGTTAGTTCATCTGCTCTTCTCTTTGTCTCAGTAAAAATGAGTGACTACAATAAACATACAAATTTAATAGAAATACAAGAGAGGAAAATAGAACCCACAGATACATTCTTTCACCTTTACGAATCTATATATATACGACAAGAATACCTTGTTTTCAGACTCTCCCATTATCTCTTCCAAAAGCTTGATCAACCTTGTAAAAATAATAAAAATTGTGTTAGTGAGTCACATTATAGTTGAGCTTTTATGGTTCAACTATTACTCTTGATTTTATACCATTAGAAACATAGGGGGCAAAGATGACTTAAAGCCTGTTCTCTAAGTTCTACACACAGATAAAAAGCAATAAAATCAATATTTGCAAAAAAGAAATTTCAAAGTTCGTGTGCAAGACAAAAAACTTTGTTTTGTTTGTCTCATGATGTAGTCACTTTTGATGTAGATTGCTAAAGTGACTCTATTGTGAGACAAATGAACAAACTTCATTTCCAAAAAAAACTTTTATCTGCAGGTAATTAGAACTTCCTATGCAAAGAAAAACTTTCAACTTACTTGTAGTCTTTTTCAGTTTCATCACAAACATCCACAATCTGTAAGATTTTGTGGTTAGCAGTGAGCCCCACTGAGCCAACTGTGATGTTAACACAGTCCCGCAAGAAATCAGCCGCCAGCCCTTGCACTTCCTTGGGCCATGTAGCACTCCACATGAGTGTCTGTCTGTCTGGTCTTGTTTGTTCAACAATTGTCCTGATCTGTGGTTCAAAGCCCATGTCAAGCATCCTGTCTGCTTCATCAAGTACCAGAAATGTGCAGCGTCGCAAGTTTGTTTTGCCAGCTTCCAACATATCAATCAATCTTCCTGGTGTGGCAATACATATCTCCACCCCTGAAACCAGGAATAGTAGAGGAAACATAAATCAAAGACTCCCATCCCTGTCTCCAGTAAACAGAAAAAATTCTCATAGAAGATGAGGACACATCATTACCAGGAACTAAGTTGCTAACCCTAAACCCAGGTACAAGAATTGATGATAGCACTCAAGGTTCATAGCAGCAAAAGAATGAAAACCCACTAACTGGGACTCTACAAACACTTACACCTTTTAACTATTCACTAAGTTGGTACATTTCAAAGAGAGATTTAGGAAATTCAGTTTATTCAGGCATCCTAAATGGAAAGTTTTATTCTGGACAAACTTTCCAGCAAGTAAGTCCTACATTCAGAAGTTCAATTTTAAGTCTAAATTAAATTAACTTTGATTGACACTTCTGTAGTTTAATACTTCTCAGAACACAGCTACTGAAACATAAAATTTGAATTAACACCAGAATCTTTTAAGTAGTGCATATGTTGTTATGGCTACCTCACCTTTTTCAAGCTCACGAATTTGGGGTCCCTTGGGTGCCCCTCCATAGATGCACACACTTTTGACATTGGTATTGCGACCATACTGGAAGGCCACAGTTTGCACCTGCTGTGCCAATTCTCTTGTAGGACAAAGGACAAGAGCCTAATAGGAAAATAACAGCGCCATTTCCATTTGACCGAGCAATGTGTATTAGCAAAGATAAACCACTGCTAACCAAGAATACTCAAAAAAGGAAACTGGAATGTCAAGTTTTGTTCTTTCAAAATGCCCTGTTATAGACATATGGCTAGTACTCTAATTAGCATATCTTTTGACAAAATATATTCTTTAATCAGTTGTATTCACTGACTTTGCAATTTCCTTTCTATAGTAAGTCTCCAAAACTAAAATGGCTTCAAAAATGAAAGTTAAAAAAAAAACTCTTTAGATCACACTCATCAGTTTTGATTCTACTTCAACAGTTCTAAAAAAAAGTTCCTGGTCATGGTTTATCTCAACTTCCAACAAAGAGCTTCCAAATCATTAATGAAATAATCTTACCACTGGACCTTCTCCACGCTGGACAAGAGGTTGGTGCTTGATATGAACTATTGCTGGTAAAATGAACTGAGGAAGGCAAACAATAGGGTATTGCAGTTAACCAATGCAATTCAATAACAAGTAAAAAACAATGATCACAATTACTTAGCATTTCTTACACTGCAAAGAATCAGTACAACTTACAGAGATAGTTTTTCCTGATCCAGTTTGTGCAATTCCAACAAGGTCCCTTCCACTTAGTGCAACTGGCCAACCCTAAAAGAAAGCAAACAAGACAAATAACTAGGTAATATTTGTGGACCTGGATGGTATCTAAGACTTTGGGCACAGTTTTCCCAGTAGAGAACTCCCAACTGATGAATAAATACAGAAGTGATCTTGTACAATGCAGCATTAGATGAAGTACATGTAATCTCCATGTAGTGCAAGGTTGAAACAAGCATACTGCATGTCACAACAAGCACCTGCATGTATGTAATTAAGAATGCAACAGGATTTTACCATTTTTCAAAGTAAATTAATTAAATAAATTGTGAAATACAGGCTCCCATAGATAGAAATACAGGGCATGAAATTGCGCCTAATACAGGCCCCAATGTAACTAAATTTTTCACTTTGGCAACCAAATCCTAAAAATTAGATGCCAAATTGGTGACTAGAATGCTTCATCATAACTTTACTTAGAGTTATAGAGAATTAAAAAAGATTAGCAAAGATAAATCTGTGGCAAACTTCCTCATTAAGTTTGTTTCCAAAATGCAGCACATGTATCTTGATAGATAACTAGATGCCATCTTGGGTTTAGTTGAGCTTGAACGTTGTACATCATCCATCCTAGTGTCCACTTTGTAGCACATTGAAGATGTTTTTCCTAACTTAATTTTGAAAGGTCTATCTAGAACAGTGACAGTGTAAAAAAAAGGTCTTGTTTGTCTTTAAAAATGGGGAATAACTTTTTTGAATTGGCTACCACTTTGAAAAATTTAGGAGCCAAGTGGCTATCAGAAAAAAAAATTAATTTCACGCCCTGCAGATACAGATTCCCACAGCAATTACTTCCATGGGAAAGAGCACATGCACATGGATGTACTGAATGCCAAAAAATGACTTAAAATTGCATTTGGGTGTAGACATTGCATATGTATAATTTCTACTGCATGTGGGTAACCACACACACAAGAAATATGCATAAAAATTCCCCAAATCACAGGGACTGAGTGTTCATCTAGGTGCTAGAGTACACACAGGCAGTACTGCATATATATGTTTATGATCCATCAAATATTTTTGTTTGTGCATGATTGGTTTAAGTGCATTACATGACCGAATAGTTCCCCACTAAAACTGGAGGATAAGTGAGGATATCACCCGAGTGATATTCCCCGACTTTCAAACCTTATGTCCACTATGATAATTCTTTGTTTGAAATATAATTCAAGATGAGAGAGCATTTTATGGTTGTTACAGAAGGGAGGAATATTTGTTTGTTCATTAAGTTGTACTGGAAAAAACAAAAATCAAAAGAAAACTTTCCATGCAACAAACAGTAAGCTGTTCATAAACAATTCTTTTACCTATTGTAAAATTCTTGGAAAAACACAAAAGCCTCTATCTTGTGCAAAACTATGCTTGTATATTTGCCCTTCCTCCAAGCTCCCACTTTTCCTCTGGCTTCATTCTCAATAAACTGTTCACATCTTGGAACAGATAATGTTCATGGACAAACATCTGTGCATACTTTTGTGCTAAATAGAGGTTATTGTTTATGTAATGTTTAAAAAACGAGCAGGATAAAACACATGCTGCGAGTTTTTTGGACGGCTTCAAAAACATTCTTGGAAAAGTGTGTGTCAAGAGAGTTCATAACAATTATGCTTTTGTGAACGTTAGAAATTAGCATACGAGAAAAACATTAGGGATTAAATTAGTATGCAAGAAAATCAAATCTCACACGTGTTTTGTACTTTTCTTCTACTAACCGAAGAGGACATGGCGTCCTGTTCCAGAGCTAAGATGATGTATCAAGATGATGATACATCAAGATGATGATACATCAAGATGATGATACATCAAGATGATGTATTGTCTAATATGCCTTTACCAGATTACTGTACTAATGGAATAGAGAATTTTTCCAGATGTGTATTTCACAACTGTACTATTAATTTGGTGCAAAAGTAAATTTACTGTGTGAAATTTGTTGAAAGAACATTAAATATGTTCCCACCATTTGTTGTGTCAGTTTCTGTGTTGATAATTAATTAATATTCATAAGTCACGTGCAGTGTTTTTATATCTGATAAAACACCGCATACTAATAAGGATGAGGTTTATCGATATAAAGTCACTGCACGTGATGTATTATCTACCATTTGATAGGTTAATGGGCTTATGAATTATTAATGAGTTTTTGAAATATCTAAGAATACCTGGGCTTGAATTACAGTTGGTTCTTGGAATCCTTCACTTCTTATTGTATCCATGATATTATCTGAAGAGAGCAGGTTGTTAATTTTAGTGTTAGAAAGCAATTAACACTAAATACCAACTACAGCCAAACCCTCTTCCATTCAAAGGTCTAGGGTTTGATTCCTTGCTGAGCACTCAAATTTGTTCTTTAGCTCATGTTTGAGACAAAATGAACAACATATTTCAATATGTTGCAGTCATGCTTAAAGTAAAAACTTTCCAGAAAAGTCTAAAGCACACTTAACTGATGGAAGAAAGTTTTTTTTTAAAAATAAATTTCAAAAACTTAAAGTACTAACATTGAGGGAGAAAATAATTTGTCAGAATAAAATGATGCCAACCCTTGAACTACTACCGTGAAATCAGGCAGTGTGCACACTCCTGTTGTGTTGCATTGTGGTAGTGTTATTTTCAATATGACAGTAAAAGCCACAGAAATTGGCTGATATTGGCTGAAGGTTCTGTATAAGTTGGCTGTTCCTTTTTTCTTTCACCATAGGTGAATGAAATTTGATTGATTCTGAATTTGCAGAAGTATTTTTGGTATGCATTTGTCACATATTCAATGCTTCTCAAGTACAAATGCAATCAATGTTTTTTAGTATGTAACTCAAGACTGGCTTTTGAGAAGGTCAAATTTGATGTACGTCGTAGTTTGAGACTGGTTATGGCCGCAAAAGGCCTATTGTTGAGTTTAGTGTATTGCGTTACACAGCATTACTATTGTAAGGACATTTCCTATATATATTCAATCATGTTGTAAATCTACTTTCCTAAGTAAAAGCAAATTAACCACTGGCAAGTGTTGTATGGTAAATCTTTTATCATGATCATTGAATGAAGGACAGTTGAATTGGCACAGTGAAAGGAATCCCTTGACCAATAAATAACTCTACGGTGTGCAAGGCAACATGCCGGGTAAGCTGGAAAACTTATATAAATTTGATAGGCTTGTGCAACTCTTGCTGTTTACTAGAGCTTTAAAATCTTCTGCCCTCAAAGTTAAGCTGTTATGAGGATATCTTTTAATGATTTTCCTTTGGGATGTGATAATAAGGATTAGTTTTAAAGTGCCATTTCCCCCTCTGTAGGATTTTAGAGGTTTAACAAAGTTGGATGAAATTTTATTACAAAAGGCAATATAAATTTTCTCCTATGTGCATCTGTTGTTTTTTCTCTCCTGCAGAAAATGACTTTGGAGATATGTTTCTTACAACCTTGATAAAAGTATCCTCTATTCTTTAAGAATATTAAGAAACTCTGCACGTTTTTAAACTTAGAGCATGATGAATTTGTTCTTAGCAGGCGAAGGGCTTCTTTGACAAATCCCATATTTACGCCAGGTGGATGACACAAAAAAAGTTCTTGTATTCAAAGGTGTCTGTCTCGAAGGTGTCTGTAATGTGTTTAATAAATAACTCATGTCTAAGAATGTATTTTCTGAATTTAATGTTATTCACACAGCCATTGGCTGTGAATGTAACTGCTACCATTTGTGTAGTTTCTTAGGCAAGACTGCAGTTGCGATTCTTTCTGAATCTTGTCAGTCGCCTCCTAAGAGTCAAATTCCTCATGGAGGAATAACAGGAATTGCACAGGCCTGTAAACACTGTTTAACCTTTCAAGGAATGGCTACTGACAGTGAATCCTCATTACATTCCACTCATATTCACACTACCATGCTGCCACCCAAAGGTGTTCACTCAACCAGGTCAGGATGCAAATAACTCACTTTTTGTATTACAACCATGACGCAACACAATCAGAGTGTGCACACTGCCTGCCCTAAAAGCTACTATTTATTTTAACCAATCAAGAACACTTACTTGGATAACTAGCTTCTTCAAATGTTACTACTGGCTTAGGGACATTCCTCCCTTGAACAGTAAGCTGAGAACGTCTCCTGTATTCCTCAACTTCTTGCTAAAATTACAAAATCAAGAGGTGTTTTAGCTCTGCTCTATTGAAAATGTTTAATAAAGGATATACAATATTAATGATCAAGTTCAACAAACCTTTACTACCATTAACAATGAAGGGAGGCTTGTATTTGTCTGGAGGTCTGCTGTGTAAGTGACTATTGCACACTTCATGAACTTTCACAGATTCTTGAAAATTAAGTCACTAACACACTGAATCAAAGTAAATCAAAGAAAATTTTGGAATCATTCTTACCATGGATCTGTTTTGCACATTTGGATGTTCTCGGTAGAAATCCTTCTTAAATTTGGGCAGGGCATCTAGATCCCACTTTGGTTTCCTAAGATGCTGTCCTGGGCTGTTGTTTAACTTGTCTTTTTTGCCACCAAATCCTCCACCACCCCCCCCTCTGAATGATCCTCCACCAAAACCACCTCGGCCACTTCCTCTACTACCACCCCCACCACTTCCAAAGCTAAAAGGATACAAGAATAACTTCGTTCATCTTCAATACAAAACAATATTAGAAAACAAAACCATACGAACAAATCATGAAACTTTTGAATACTATATACATTACACTTCAGGTTTAGAGACAACAAACAGGTTAACCGTCGCTTGACATAATATAACAATTTTATTTAAGTGTCGATGTCTTGAGCTTAAATAGCTAAAAAAGATTATGGAAGCTGAAAAATGATTATTAAAAGATCTCTCTCCCCTAGTCCATTATCCTTTCAAACACCGCTACACTTTCTTGAACGTTTACATCATTAAACTTGACGGTAGACTTTTCAAGTGCTGCAACTATCTCCATCGATTGCAACTTGCATATCAAGCCCGGCCAAAATCACCCTAACCTACGATATCCCGACAAAAGGACGACTACTAACTCGTCGAAAACAAAATTCCTGTTGCATTGTGAGAAAAAATCGCATGTGGCATTCGTGAAAGGCGAATTTCATGTTACACAAATTCGCCTTGAAGCACTACAAAATGACCTGTGCAAAGGTTAATTAACCATTATGAAAAAAATACCTTGGGATCTAAGACACAGAAATTGTCTCTCAAGAATCAGCGAAGACAACAGTGAATTAGAAACGACAATGCAAAGGAGGGAATAGCGCACAAGGATCTCGGTCAGTTTGCCTTACCTTTTACGCTCTGAACGGCTCCCTGGATCAAAGGAGCGACCTCTATCAAAACGAGACATGATTTGTTAATATGTATGGGTTCGCAAGGCCTTCCAAGTCGAAGATAAGATCAAACGAGAAGCAGTAAGGTTCGAGATCGAAAATTTCAAGGGTCGCCGGCAAAAAGATATCCGAATAGCAAATTTTAGTGACGTACACCCATGTGGCTTGTTAACGAAATGTCCCTGATTGGTCAATATGTTATTACGTAGTCGTTCTTCTGCGAATTGGCACGACGTAGGGGAGAGGTAGAACAGGATTAAGGTTCACGGTATAACTTAACGTAAACTGTAGGATACCTTTGATGATTTCAAAATCGCGCCGCCGTCCAATATATTGCTGATGGCAACCAGGTTTCAAATAGAGCAGAATGGAATCATTGGCTGAAAGGGTTTTTTAACAACGAAAATGGTTCCAAGAATCAAGCAAGGCAGCAGCTAATAACTATAAAACTGTACTATGTTCATTTTGCACTCTCTTTCACTGGAAACATTTAAATTACAGCTTTACCTTAACAAAGGGTAGAATCTGTCAGTCATGAAATTTAATGCCAGTAACTGGCTGGTAAAATTGATAGTTTCACTAACAAAAGATATTACAGCATTATCACCAAGTGATGGTGACTGAGATTATACACTGCAGATTTACACACAATAAGGCCTTAGGGTTAAGAGTTGTATGAGATTACCCTATATTATCTTTTCTTCTAAAATAATTAACCAATGGCATTTATTTTTGTTTGCTCATTAATAGCTGCACATGGTAAGTGAAGATAATTTTATATTTACTGGTTGCTTTGTAAAAAACTGGAACCATTGCAGTCCCCATTCTTCCCATTTAAACATCCGAATTTAGCAGGAGGGTACTAAACCAAATAAAAGACTTAAAAACGTAATATTTGTTCTTAATTGGGGAAAGTTTTAGTAATTAAAACCACAAAAAGGAAAACAATTGCATCTTGGCTGTCTAAAAGTTTGTATTATACTAGAAAGAAAGAAGACAACTAATCTTCCCAATTACCTTCCTTTGGAAAGTCGTTCAAAAAGATCCTTCTAGTTCAAAGCTACTCACAAAATTTCCTCAAATTATTTCAAAACCAAGTTAAGGAGATGGAAAGAATATTCTTACCCTTTTCAATCAAATAACAAAAAATATATTTCCAGCACATGTAATTTGGAATTGGTTTAGGGGAATTAGGGAAATTATACCTAACACAGAATTTAAAGAATCATTGAAAATTGGTGTCAATGGCTTGAGAACATTTGGGAAATATTAGTATCAAAGTGTAAGAAACAAGATCAAGAATCTTTCGTTCAGTATTTTCAATTTAAAAAAAACCCTAACTATTCAAAACATCAACCAAAATGTACAGTGCCAATCCAATTTTGAGAAATCAGAGGGTTTAAGAAGAGAGAATCCACCAAGAAAGACCTCTCTCTTTTCCCACTGCTTTGAGCTTTTTCACCTCATTCAAAGAATGTGTCAGTAAAGCCTGTGATAGTACATATCATTTTTTTGTTAGCCTCCAGAAACTGGCTTTGATCAACATTTTTAATGGATAGACACGAGAATCTGAAATTTGGCAGATTGGATTATCTTGACAGATTTATCCAAAATGCACCTTTCTGTTACAATAAGTCATTTTCATGTTCCCAGTCAATATATGTTATATACCACAGTTCTTAATTAAAAAAAAAAAAGGATTACAAGGAAGTACTTCTTAAAATCCTTCACATAATAACTGAGCCAAATAATGCTATTTTTACTCTGTCCAGTTTACAACAGAGAATAAGAGAAAAAAAAAACTAACAAACAAACAAAAAACAGTCTCCCTTCACTATAAACTTGACTGTTCCAGTTCTTGCAATATGGGTGTTATCCAACTTTGGGTGTCAAAACTACCATCTGTTCCATTTCCTTTTACAAAATTATGCTCCTGGTCAAGGTAAAATAGAAAAGGAATTATGACTACAAACAAATTACAATTATATTATCTGTCAATACATTCTAAATAATTTAGTCTTTTTCTGAGATAACTAGAAGGTAGCAACAAATTTAAATATCAATTTTGCAAAAAAAACAACTATAAGAAAAAACCTTGTTAATGACTTTTCCACAGCATGTGATGTCTTTCATACTAATGGTTTTTTATTTAACAAAGTTATCAAAATGATGAAAAAACCATTACCTCAAAAGGTTTATAAAATATGTATTCCTTGATCACTAAAAAGTCAAGTATGCAGCATGCAAAGTGAATAAAATTTTAAGAATATATGGCTGTCGTAACAATTTTTGACGTTAAGATATGTCTACTTACCATGAGCGAGACATAGTTAGGCCTTTTACTGTAGTCTTTCTGTAAGCTGCAGATTCAAATTAAAGGTAAAACAACATTAACCCTGAAGTTTCTCCTGTTAGCTAAATGATCATTTTGATTAACCTGAATACCATACAGCCAACCATTGCCAATGGTTTTAGGAGATGAGAACAAAGACCTCAAATAATATCAAATAGTTGAACTGATTTCATAACTAATTCTCACAAATGATATTAAAGTTATTTATGAATAACAGTAGGGAGAATCAAACTATGATTAAGATCCCAGTGTGAAAGGGTAAATTAAAAAGTGTTATATGGCTTGCCAAAAATTGAAAATTACCATTGAACAACAAAATCTCTTAGTTCATCCGAGTATGGTCCCCCATCAGGAAGAGTTGGTGAAGGCTCATGAACAACTTGTTTCAGCTGCTCAAATGGTGTCTTCCACTGAGTGTATGGAAATTTACCAGTTGCCAGTTCTATCTGTAAAAGACAGGACCACTATTTACAACCTTGGAGTCATAGTTAGAATCCTTGAATCAATCCCTCTCATTTGTTGCTCATAAGTAGCTATTGGGTACTTAAAATTAGTTTGTTTCTGTCCTAGAGAGAAATCTGATCCCAAGTTTAAAAGAACAGGATAGAGCCTCTACAATCACTTTCTGGGTGGTATAGGTTCGAATCCCGACAAAATCTTCAGGCTTTTTTTCTTCAATTGTTTTACCTGCTAGTAAAACTATATGTTGGGTACTGTGGTGTTTCAGGGAAGAGCAAGTATCCTTATGCATTGGGTACCCCATTGATTTGGGGGAAGCACAAGACTTAGTATGTATAAGTTACCATAGTGATTCCTAGGCTCCAAATGTCAGAGCGAATATCATATCCTTCCATGTTTTTGGCTGGGTTGATTCTCTCAGGCTAAAAAAAGAAATTAGAAAAATGTCATAATCCATAATATTTATCATATTTAGCCATTGAACAACTCATCTAGGCACATATCATTTTCTTGAGTGACTTGTGATTTTAAAAATACTTACTGCCATGTAAGGTTTGCATCCTGCATCAACAGTTTTTGCCAGTGAGTCTACCAGCTGACCACTTATTCCAAAATCACACAGTTTAAAATTTCCTTTTTCATCCACTAAAATGTTAGAAGGCTTCACATCTATAAATAAAGCAATTAAAATAATCTGTGGTGATTTCAGTTTTTGTTTAACTCTTTGAACCACAAGAGCATACAATCTTTGATGATTGTAATTTGGCACCCTATTAAAATTGTGGTGTAGTTGTTGTTGCTCACCTTATGATCTACATCAGGTGGGAAGTACAATGGAATATAATGGTTAGTGTCCTTGACTTGGGATCACATTGAACCCCTTGTCAAATACTCACTGTCCTGAATTCTTAAGCAAGACACTTTTACTATAACCATTAATCTCTCTCACCAAGATTATTTTATACACCCATTATAAGCAATGCTGGTCAGTCAATCAGAAAAATAAGACAAAATGCTGAAGGTTTACTTTTGCCACAAAATCAAGGACCATAGGCTCAAGAGAAAACTTTAACTGATCTCCTACAAACATTATTGTAAATCATTCATTATTGTTACAAAAACTTAACCCAAAATCAAAGTAACATATTCTAAAGAAAAGCTGTTTATCACTTTCTTCATGATTTACAAACTTTTCTCATTACAAGTTCTTTCAACTTTCTGAAGGGGCTATCATAGCAGGAAAACATGGGAGAGCATTTTGGTGTTTTAATCAAAATAAAAAAATATGGTAAAAAATATTAAGGAAAACTAATGATAAATCAAGTGCTTACCTCTGTGGATTACATGCAGTTTACTGTGAAGATAATTTAATGCATGGACCATCTGTGTGTCAGGAAATAAAACATAATTATTTCAAATATGAATTTTTTTGTACTTGTAAGAGGCAGGTGGGGGTGGTGTCAAATTTAGCGCCATCATTTATTATAAGCTCCTAACTCAATCAAAATAATTATCAACAAGAATACCATATCTGTTATAGACAGCACATTGACTGTTACAGCAGCAATTTATCATCTGAAAGAAAATTCTGATATCTCCAGTTACAATTACAACACAGCCTTCACAATAACCATGTTGTGCATAGCTTAGGAGAGAGTAAATCTGTCAAAACTTACAGCAATGGCTATTTCCCGTAGGACTTCTTCAAGCACCCTTCGGCCAGGAGTGGCATAAACTTTTTTGTAAAGTTTGTCTAGTGATGCTTTCATGAGCTCCATACAAATCCAGACATCTCCCTGGTGAATAAATAGGTCCTCTCATTTAATTGAACAACATCTGGCATAATGAATTGTCCACTATTTGTCAAAATGAATCAAATTGGACAGTTCTAATAGAACAAAGACAAACTCCAGAGCAGCAGGAATTGTTAAGGTCAAGTGTAAGTATTACCCTTTGAGTCATACCTCTCTAAACAGTGCTCCATAAAAATGTACAGTGTAAGGGCAGTCAGTTACTCTCATCGACACATCCAAATCCATCAAAAGCCTTTTCTGCTCTGTTGAATTTACATTGGCACGTATTCTCTGATGATAATAAAATAAATTAAATTACAAAAAAATTCATATTACTAGTAAAGAGGGTCCCAGTAGGTTTTTCAAAATCTGAGATATTGTCTTTTAAGATTGTACATAATATTAGTTGCCCTGATCAACTGGCAGATTATCTTACTGTAGATCTCATATTCATGAAAGAAATTTACGTAAGACTTTATTGCATCTTCCCAAGGTCAAAACAAATACTGGCCGAACCATTTTTCAGTATTCTGCTGCAGAAGATAGTTTTACTAAGTACATTAGAGATATAAACTTTTTGAAGAGGTTAAAGACTGAGTTATGTGGTTGTTTTAGAGATTTAGATGTTAAATTTCATTGTAGCTTGCTAATTTAGGTTTAATTTTTAGTTGATTTTTTTCTAGTTGTTGATTAAAAAAAAAAAAATATATATATATATATATATTGATATTTTAAATTTTAATATTTATATTTAAAATAATATAAATATACTATTTAAATATAAATATATTTAAATATATTTTAGGTTTATATTTCAAGGTATTATAATAATTTTTTTACGAATTATTTATTGAGATAGAAGTTAAAGGGTTTTTTTTTTTTATATATAGCTACACATGGGTTGATACCAGCTTTTATTATGGTACTAGCTGATCAATTTTGTAGGGTAAATAAAATTATTAGAATTATTATTAAAGTTGAATTAGAGGAACTTGTTACCATGACTAGCCAATGTTATTTGTGCAAAAATTTGAAAGCTAATAAAACGAGCAAAATTTTTGGTCAAAAGAGATAAACTTTTGCCTTACAGTGACTAGAGACTTCAATGAATCAATGCTGGTAAAGAATATCAAGAGCTAATAAAAAGGCCCTTTTGAGTTTAGGTAATGGACTAAAACAAGAATTTTTCGTCAGAATTGGGATTGGTCAGTATAATCAGCCAGGATTGCAATGGAAAATTTAGTTGAGATTGCAGGATTGAAGAACACTACTGAGGAACCTCAGTAAAATTATTCTAAAACTGGAAAAAGTATTTTACACTTACTTTGACAGCCATTATAAACCCTGTTGGTTGATGTTGCATTTTGTAAACAAAACCATATGCTCCATGTCCTAGCTCCTTTATTTCCTTTAAATCATCTGCATTACATTCAAAGTCCTGTAATAAGCATAAAAAGAACAAGAAATATTGTGTACCTCTGATGTACCATAAAATGGTCAGAAAAACTACCTCTGTTTTGTTAATACCTTGGGGTATTTTACTGAGTAATTGCTTGTGTAGTGTCCATTATGATGCAATTTCAGATTTTCCTGCCTAGAGAATATTCATAATAACTTACAGAAAGAGAGAAAGAGAACAAGAAAACTTCTAGACTGTTGATCAATTAGTGACAAAGTACCAACCTTGCCATTAACAGTAAGTGTAGCTTTATCACTCAAATTCCTGGGTGGAGTGGTGCTGAAAATTAGGTAGGATGAACCAAGTACTCAGTTATTCAAAGTAAATAGCTGACTTTTGAGGTGATCTTCTATAATCTAACAATAAGTATCTACCAACAAATATATTTTGATCAATATTGTTTAAGTTAATCCAAAAATAAATAAAACATGCCGAAGTTGGTTCAACCCTTTAACTCCCATGAGTGACCAAGAGAGAATTTCTCCTTACAATATTAATACACTATCAACCACATAAGTAATGAGAATAAAGAAAAATATCAATTTGGGGATCATTAGTTGATCCAATACTTAATTCTCTGAACTAACATTATAAGAATTATGTTGACAGTGAGGAGAAAAAATTTGATCTAAGAGTTAAAGGGTTAAAACTTCTAACCCTAACCTAGGCAAAGATGATCATTCAATCTGTTATCTAAAATAACAAGGGCTAGCCTTTAAGGGTCTGCTGACTAATCATTAATTAGTGAACTCTAATGAATTATTATTTGCTACATCTGATTTGGGCTTTGCTAGCAACAACTTGGACATGCTGTGTCACAAGAATGCAAAATAAACCTTAAATAGCACTTACGATGGGGATGTGGTAGGTGATGGATGACTTTTTGTAAAATCAAATTTACTAGGCTTTTGTTTTTTCCCTTTCTTTCCTGTAATTAACAAAGTGAGACTTCAGATTCACTACACAGGTAACAATTTTCAGAATGACCTTGTATGTAATGCACTTTCCAGCCTACACTTCCAAACTAATGAAACACAAGGTCATAAATGATATGTTTGCTACCTGAATACCAGTTTAAACAGAACATAGAAAACCCACAGCTGTGACTGCATTAGAGTACACTTCAGAGCACAAATAATTTTTAAAAAGTAATGGTAATTATTGAAGGTATCAAATGTAAGTAATTAGGCCATAAATATCAAATTTCAACATCCATTGAGCACTTTACTAAAGTGCATGTTTAGCTATTCCATTATTTTGTACCTTGCATGTTGCACTAAATCTTGCATATCATCTCAGACATGAGGCCAAAAGATAAGATAATTGATAGGAGAAAGTGAAAATTAAGAAACTCAAATTTTACTACCTGTCTAGATAATCATAGCTTCACTAAAAGTAGAGCTTCTTTAGTGTAAATCAAAGTGGAATAAATCTCTCATTTTCTGAAGCAACCATTTAGCTGAAATCAATTATGCGTCTGGATTAATTCCTTTGTAAAATAATTAAGAACAACACATTATGTTTGAAGCAGGCTGCATATATTTGTTTATTTATAAGAGCATTAATGCACAGGGCAAGCTATAACTCGCGTGATTGATAAAAAGAACTCTGTCTTTAAGAGTTGTTTGATTTCCTAACCTCCTTTGGGTGAACTGGACATGACTCTCGTCGGATCTTTGGATGAAGTAATATAAAAAATTCCATGTGAGAAATTTAACTCTGACACTGACCCACAAATATGGTAAATAAAAGAGCATATCTTATCTTACCTTCAATATTTGCCTGCAGCTCGTTTTCTATAAATCTCTTAACCAGAACAACTGACGGAGGGATTCCCCCCTCAGCTCGGCGTAAGGTAACGTGATTAGAAATTCTGTCTCATAGTCGTAATAGCAATATTTAGCACAAGAACTAATCCATTCAACGCGGAAAAAAAACTAGGCGGAGTGTGCACGAGTGGTCCCGAGCGGTTAGGAGCCAGCGGCTAAACATCTGACCATAGATTATGTGGTGTAAAATGTTGTGTAACGACGACACACAGAACCTCTCTTTAAACTAAGGCCCAGGCCTCACGAACCTACTACCCACGACGAGAAACAATTAGATGACATTCCTAACAAATCAGGACCATGGATGTCGCGGGAAGACTTGTGGACTGGGATGTTTCGTCTCCTTTTTCGCCCTTGTCACACAGTGTCCGCGTTCTGGAAACCATGAACAAACACAGGAAAGATTGCCTTAAGCTGTGTGATGTCGTTCTTAAAATTGGAGACGAACATATTCCAACTCACAGGGCGGTATTGGCAGCCTGCAGTTCGTACTTCTACGCCATGTTTACGAGCGATCTGGTCGAGAGCCGACAAAAAGTTATTACCATGAAAGATATAGACGCCTCTGTGATCCAAATGTTAGTGGATTTTGCTTACACGGGAAAGCTTGATGTCAATGTTGAAAATGTACAAACCATATTGTCAACGGCATCGTTGGTGCAATTTCACGAAGTGCGAGATTTATGCTGTCAATTTTTGGAAACACAGTTGGATCCTTCGAACTGCTTGGGAATCAGGAAATTTACGGAAACTCATGGCTGTACTAATTTCCTAGAAGTTGTGGACAATTTTGTGTTGGAAAACTTTCGGGATGTTATGAAATCAGAGGAATATGCTTTGCTACCGAGTGAGTTACTGGTGAAAGTGGTCTCAAGCGATGACTTGAACATAATTGCTGAAGAGGAAGTGTATGAAGCTGTTATGTCTTGGGTAAAGCATGACCTAAACAATCGCGTGAAACAACTCCCTCATTTGATAGAGTTCGTTCGAATGCCTTTGATTTCAAAACATTACCTCCTGGACCGAATTGATGCAGACAACTTGATACGCTCCAATTTGAAATGTAGAGATTTATTGGATGAAGCGAAGAAGTATCATCTGATACCTGAGCAGCGAGGACTGTTTCGCACAGATCGTATGAAACCCAGAAAATCTATGATGGGAACATTATATGCGGTTGGAGGAAAAGAAGCCGGGGAAACTATTTCAAATACAGTGGAGTGCTACAGGTAGGTTACCGACTTCCTTTTAGTCATTGATTGATGGCACTCATCTGAAGTTAAAGTTTAACTCAAGTTCAACAGCGTCTGTATATACAGCCGCTGTATATTTTAGTTTTTCTTTTTTCTTTTTTTGTTTTTTATTGTAAAAATATTAACTTCCAACTCGAGCAAAGCCGAATATCTGAAACATTTATTTATCAAAACAGGCTGGAACAGTCAGGATTAAAGGTTCTTTCTCTTTTAAAACCAGATCTTTATTATTTGGAACAATGTCTTTTTTAGGATAAAATTTTGGCATTCTTCTAGAGGAGATAATTTTCTAGCTAAGTAAAATTTACACCTTGAGAGAGGTGTGATCAAAATCACCCTGGCATGTCTGAAGGATGTAAATGAAAAAAAATTTTCCCTCTTCTTTTTATTGGCCAACAGGTTCATATACTGGTTCTCTTCTTAAGATCGTTAAATTGTAAATAGTTCTCTTACTGCAATGTGCAGATAAATTAAAGCTTCTACTCAAATATGGGAAGTGCATGGTTAAAGCTGTATGCATGCATGGTTGATTAGCGGACAATATTTGTGTCTTTTCTTTCCCTTATCACCAGTTTACAAACAAACATTTGGCAGCAAGCCCCACCACTTAATGTCCCAAGGCAACAACTTGGTACTGGAAGTTTAGGAGGCTTCCTGTATGCTGTTGGTGGTTCAGATGGGTATTCGCGTTTGAGCACAGTGGAACGCTTTTCATTAGAGACAAACCAGTGGATGTATGTCAAGGCACTTAATACTAGTCGCTCTGGTGTTGGAGTTGGTGTTCTTGGTGAAGCAATGTATGCAATGGGTGGTTATGATGGGCGATCATGTTTAAAAACAGTTGAAAGATATGACCCACTGGTTGATATCTGGAGTTTTGTTGCACCTACAAATATTACCCGCAGCTTCCCTGGTATGTAACAGATTCCTTCACAGTTCCTTTTATTGCAATGGTTGTTTGTGATCATCCAGAAAGGGTGAAAATTTCATATTAATTATCCATTCAAGTTTAATTTAATGAATATTTGGCTGATTTAGTGTCAAGATGCAAAATATTGAACTTTTTGATATAGTATCTAGATTGTCAAGTGTATACAAGATAGACCATTGTTGCTATGGATAATAAGAGTTCTTGTTCAAACAGGAGTGGCACAGCTTGGAGACCTCATCTTTGTGATTGGTGGTAACGATGGAGTCTCATTCCTCAACTCAATTGAATGCTATGATCCTCATACAAACAGATGGACTCTTCTACCCCCCATGAGTCGGCCCAGGGCTGGGATTGGAGCTGCAGCTTTAGATGGTTACATCTATGCTATTGGTGGTTTTGATGGTGCATCAAGGCTTGATATAGTTGAGATGTTTGAACCCCGTAAGAATGCATGGATAGAAGTTGCTCCTCTCAATTCATGTCGTGATGGTGTTTGTGTAATGACCTATGGTTGCTGGGTTTATGCCGTTGGAGGTATTGATGGTCCATCATATCTTAACACAGTGGAGGCCTATGATCCAAGAAATGACCAATGGGAAGATGTAGTTCCTATGACAAGATGTCGGGCTGCAGCAGGGGTTGCAGTTTTACACAGCCCTGTTTAATATATAAGTGATGGAATATAATCTTTGTGGAATGGTTTGGGTTTAGGGGAATTTTAGGTAGTTATGTCGAATGTTGACACACAGAAGAATTCTTTCAACCTCAAGTGTTTGGATGAGACCATTAAAACACAGGAAAAGTCCCCTGTTGCTTTTAGAAAATATTTCTCAGAATGAAGTCAAAACTAAAACTTCACAAACATGCTTATCGACTTATATCTGAACACATCAATTAACAAAAAGAGAAAATAAGGTATCTGTCATTTTGTAAAATTTCATCTTCATTAAATATGAACCCTTAGTAAAAGCTATTTGCTTTAATAATATATTAAATAGGAAAATTCTTTCATCACGTATGTCTATTTGTAAAAGTTTAATATGTTGTTTCTTTCTTTTGGTAGTCAGTTAAATTGTATTTTTTGAGCAAAATCCAAGCTTAATCCTTTTTAATGTGGTGTCATTACTTAGTTGTAGACATAAGCTTTTCCTGCCAAGACACGCTCAGTTGTTGCACCACCATGTTGCATCTTTTTTATAACCAATGTCACCTAACTAACAGAAGCAAATAGCGCTGCCTTTCATTTTTAAGTTTGCATTGCAACAAAATTTGTCTGCAGATTCATATTCTGTATAAAATATGATTGTAGTTGGTTGTTTTTGCTAGTAAGAATTCAAGGGTTGGGTTCATCATCCCTGTTTATTGCAGTTCCTTGAAATACTCGAGTCTGATTGTCACAAAAATTTTAATCATTTTTATGTTTGGTACATTTTTGCAGATCAATTCCAATCTGGCATACAATGCAGTATGTTTGTATTTGCACTTAATGAAATTTTTCTGACCCTAATTCCAGTTTGGACACCAGTGTCCACCTTTTAAAAATTGTTTATCTAGAACCTGTAATAATAATAATAATAATAATAACAACAACAACAAAACAATCAGCTTTATCCACTGCCTACAATTTAATTGCTGTATGACATTGTGGACCTTTAAGCAACTACAGCCCAAGTTTGAGTAATTCTCATCACTCTCATCTCATGTTTCTCTTTTTGTGTCTAAAGGTCTCTAAATTGATGTTGTTTTATTCTTTATTTTCTAAGAAGACTTACATTAATTTTCTTTTTTTCCCCGATGCATTGTTCAATTTATTAGAACCACTCCATGGATTGATTACTAGTCAAAAATTGCACAGTTTAGTCTAAGTTACTATTATTCTATTTTAATATTCTTTCATTGAGAGTACTGTGTCCATACATATTGCAAAGTAAAGACTTCACAAGAGATTATTAGGTGTTTAATGTATTAGAATTAGCATCATGCAATGAAGCATTCCCCTTAAGTTAGTGCCTCTCACTTCTTGCAAAAATGTTAGAGACATAGTTGAATTTGCTCATTACTAATTGGGAAGTCTTGTACTAGTAGTTAAGGTGTACTAAGTCTCTAGATTATTATGATGAAAGTTATATTTTACATTAATGTTAAAATTTGTTGAAGATAGTTAGAATAATATTATTGAGATCTGATTAATGACCTCAGTTACAAAGATTCTAATTTTGGAAATAATTTACATTAGAGACATATTTACTTAATGCAAATGTAAGATGGCTGTACACTAAAGTTATTCTGTGTTACTGTCAGAGAAATGTTTAATATGTGCTCTATTGGAGTACTTTTTGTGTTAGGATTAAAATAGAAGCTGCTTTGAACTAAATTCTAGTAAATTTGGGAATCAAATTGAATAAAATTTGAAATCTTTTTCTCTGTCAAGGTTGCTTTGTACAACTGTCTCATCCACTCTATCTTTATATCTGTGTATCTTGTTTCGCCAAACTCACTGAACTGATTTGAATGGATTTTCTTGCCCTCTTTTCCCCTTCATTTTTCCACATCACACAATCCATTCATACACTTTTTTGTGTGGGACTATGTCTTTTGCTCTAGAACCTTAAATGTTGCATTAATCACTAAACCTAATTAACCCTTTTCCTTCAGATGAGGGTAGTGCTGAAAGAGGCTATGGTCCCCTCTTTAACTGAGCAAAATTGAACTTCAGAAGCAAGGAAAATTGTCCTATACATTAAGGCAACAGTCTGTTCATTTATTACAGTATGCTGCCTGCAGAAGTTGTGGAATCTAAGGTTCACAATGGATGCCTTTAAATCCACTTATAGATCACAAACCTGACAATGAAATGCTTGATACACCAATGCACACTAAAGGGTGAGGAAAATTCTATTGTATGCACAAGGTATATGGATATGGGAACTGAAGCAAACCTTGACTTAATTTCTGCAAATTGAATTAGTTTATTTTTCGGTCTGTAACGAGGAAACACAGCACAAACTTAATTTTGTACAAAGTAGGTACTATCCCATGACTTGATTGTTCTTTTTCTAAACAGTGGTAACAACACAATGTCTAAATGCTAGAACCACTTTTGGTTACAGTTAAATTTCCATCTGTGCTTTAATTGATGCCTTAACATTTAGTGTTGATGGAAGAGCAGAAAAGCTCATTGGGTGGCAGGTTAGTGTTCTTAAATTAAGCATCACACATGTCTTTGTACTGGAGAAGGCAGGAACTGTCACCAACAACACTTTCTGACCATTTTCACCTAAAGAGAGACGGTAACTATAAATTAAAATCAACGCTGAATAAAGTAATTCTTTTCTTTGATCAATTCATTGTTACTTGCATGCTTACCATGGATAAATTTGCTTGCATACTTGTGTTGATTGCCAACGAAGTACACATGTGGACATTTCTCCAAAATAAAAGGATCCTTCTCATAGTATGGGTAACACCCTGAAAAAAGAAGTGTGAAAATGGCAAATGGCCACAAAAAAGCTAATCACCATTGCTGAGAATACCTATGATGAGCACTTGCTGGTAAGTCCAGAAACAGAAGAAAAAGACTCAGTGCTTGAACATGTATATTTCTAATCAGGAATCCTGTGCACCAAGCACTAAGTTATTGATTCTCCATCATGGTGACAGCAGATCAATAGCAGTATCTGGGCAACTGCCCATCTACCCTCCCCTAACTCAACACCAGTCAATTGATAACAAGTTAGGGTTAATGTTGAGTTAGGGGAGGGGTAGGTGGGCAGTTTCCCAGATACTGATATTGATCTGTGACAGCCCCTGTTAAACACAGCTCTACAACACAATGTGTGCTGTTTCTTATCTTCAACCCTCTTTGTTTGTTTTGTTCATTTAGGAGGTCACCACCCTACCAGCCTTGGTCCAACTTTATTTTTTTGTCCTGTATCCTTGAGCATCAAGAGGGCCAAAAGCTTACAGCAGAAGGACATTTATTTCATCAAAACAACCCTCTTATAGAGAAAGCCCAAGGCCCACTGATTGCATAAACCCATGATTGAGGTTTGACCTTGTGTAAATACCCAGTGCGAAAAAACTGTTTGAACCAACACTCCCCCTGTTCTCCCCAAGCCTCCAATTTTGCTTTAGCATAAAAAGGAAGTGAATTCCTCAGACAACTACCTAAGGTGTCTGGAGCTGTGGGTGCAATGTGACCCCAATTCATGCTGTGTTCTAGAATGTCCAAACCATCTTCAAATGTTGAAACCCTGTGAATGTCTTGAACATTTTGTCCTGAGGTTCCAAGGATTCTGCAAATATAGTTTTAAAATGAAAATAATTCAAGCAAACTGCCACAAAAATTAAGTTCATAAGGAGTTTCTTTCATGATCATAAATGATTTAAATCACAAAAACCTCTATCAATAGGTCCTGGTCAACTTTCTAATCTTTATATAGGGTTATACATACATATAGATTTCCCTACTTTACCCAACCATGCAGTTACAGGACAGACTGCAGGTTGTACTCTGTGGAAAACGTTACCTTAGTCCACCAATTACAGCTTCATATGGGTTGGTCACACTTTGAAATGTTGGATAAGCAGCTGCTTGGGGAAACATGCAGCGATGAAAAGGTTGCTGTGGCACTGTGTGATTAGCAGGATCAAACTCCCCAGGCATTATGTCTACTGGAACACATGACTAGTGATGGAAATGTCAATTAATTCACCATATTGTTCATTCGTGTTCAATATTATTCAGAAAACCACAATTCACATGGTAAGATTTCAAAATCTTAACTTCAGAAACATTCTGCATTACTTACAGCCAGTCGCATTACAAATTCATCCAACCTCTTCATAGCCTCCACACTACCAGCCTCAGTATTTCTAGTCAAATACTTTGCCTGTTGGGAACAGTCATGTTTTAATGTACTGTTTGTCACAAGTGCAATAATCTAAATTATAAATATGCAAATCCCCATAACACTCTCTTCATTATAAAAAACTGTTAATCATAAGCTGATGGAAAATAATTCATACTACATCAAACACAGAGAAGACAAGAATGCCAAAAAGTTGTAAATAGCGTACCTTTGCTTCACTGTCTTTATTAAGTGTATAATGGCTCAAGGAATTTCCAGCAATGATAACTCGGCTTATCTTTGCACAAGATTCTTGATCCTAGTTATTCAATGGGTTACAAAGTAAAATTAATTTCCAGCAAGTGATCATCTTAAATTTCAAGCCTATGCAGTAAATTATAAGTGGAGGTCACTAAAATCTGGTATGACCATTAGGGTCTCAATTTTGGGTCATAACCTTAAGTAAGAGGGTCTCTATCAAGGCACAAATACATCCAAAAGGAAAATATTTTGAAAAAAGTGATACAAGTGATACAAACAAAGAAACTTTCTGGCAAAAATCATTATTTGAAGTTCAGTCTGCCGGAGTGCATTTCTTATGAGTACCAAGTTAAGTTACTCTCTACAATGAAGCCTTGTGGGATAAACTTTTCTTCAAAGGTTAACAATTCATTCCTTCCCAAGCCATAACCAATATGATTCAGCTGGCTGTATGCCATACCAAGAGAGTGGCCATGAGATCGCTTCCAGAGGTCTTTCTTCATTTTGGTAAATAATCTTACTCTCAATATGAAACAAATCTCACCTGTACACAACCAAGCTCTCCAATCACCAAATCAGAAAAAAGCTGAAGGCTGAGTAAATCCTGACTTTTATCACCAAATCCAAGACCAGAGATAAAAGCAACATAACTTAAAATGAAAAAGAAATTAAGCTCTCAGATATACCTCTATATAGACTCATTAAAAAATCTACCATCAAGATAATTATAATCATTGTAGTGACCAGCCCTACCACACAACTCACTCTAGGAAGCTATAAGGAAGTGAAAGAAAGTTTTAAGTTGGTCAGCATAACGATTACTTAAAGAGCTTAGGCTTTCTTAAAGTCATCCTTTGTTAATAAATATATATCTCATGAATGAGTATGACAAAAGCAAATAGGGCAAGAGAGAAAACTTCAAAGAAACTATCTCACCAATCTTCACCCTTGGACAAATGTTGATCAAGGTTTGGTACAGTTTGGTAAGGAAGGCCACTGAAACAATAATCTTCAACAGCAAATTTACCACTGTCAATTGTACAACCACAGAGTGCTACTAAACTTCCTGAAATTAACAAATAACCATTAGTAAAAACTCAAAATAGTTAATGATTGGAGTCTAGAAGTACTGTTGGTCATGTGGTCAGATCAAAGCAACAACAGTAATCCTGTAAAGGGCTTTAATGTTGACAGTGACTGCTGCTTGGACAAACTGAGTGGAAGTCATCATCAGAGTCATGAGAAGTTCTTTGTCAGTTAGGTATGATCATCAAGGTAAGTTTTGCTGTGATGTTTATGGCTGACTCAAGTAGTGTGAGTCAATTGTGATCTAGGTGTTCTGATGCATTGGTAGAATTAGTTCTCTGTTTTAGTTCATTCATTGTTTATTATTGTTGTCAATGATCTATGGTCTGTGACAATTCTGGAATGATAGATGAAGGAAATCTGTGTGAGTGTGTGATTGCCAAAATACCTGTTACACATGTTCCAACTTGTATGTTACCAGTAAGTGACACTCTCTCTGTTTCGTCCTCTATCACAAGTTCATCACTATCTTCGGTAAATCTATCTCTAGAGGGCTGTGGCATCAAATTATGCTGCCAACAAAATGAACAAGGTAAACCTTTCAATAGATGGACTTGACAGTTGGTTCAGGAAAAAAGACTCATTCTGCTGGTGGTATTCATTTTATTGTACAAGTTTCATCTGTAATCATACAGTTATTTCTAGTATTTATGAATTTAATAGCTTGTACTGTATGCATAAAACTTAGACAAGAATTTTGCAGAAATTGAATGGTATAATCATAAATGGCAGTTTAATTATTTTCAGTCTCACATCAATCATACCTCTTCACTTATCTCCTTTAAAATACTAGGTTTCATTTCCATTTTCTTGAATAGAGTTCCAATCACAAAACATTTTTCATCCGCTTTCACTTCAGACAGTTTCTGTATTTTAAATGCGCTCTCCGTCCCACCTGAAAGGCACAATTTCACATATTTAAAAATCTGTTACAAAAGTTGGACAAAATCCCTCAACGCTACTCCCGCTGACATAAACAGCACCAACCATATTTTTAGTTGATGGAATAAGAACTCAGACACCATGGCCTACAAACCAATCAAAACTAAGGAATTGCAACCGACCATGGCTAGTTTTGATTTGCAACAATTCTCACAAACCGTAAATACGAGGCTAAATTTTTGTGAAGTAAATCGATTACAAACCCCATTTCCTTCTTGCTGCTGTAGCTAACTTCTTCCTCATTGCCATGATACGGACTGAGTAGATCTGGGCATACTGCCTTGAAAAGCTTCTGTCTTTTAACAAAAAGCGCTCCGATTCATTTGAGTAGGAAGAAGTTGTTCTTTCGATCCTGTCTTCCTCTTTAGGTCCCTCGTCATGTAAAGGCTCAGAAAGCAAAAACTCAGCCTTAAGCTCTGTAGCTTTAATATCCATTTGCTGTGCAGTGAACATTTCAATTTTATCTCTTTTAGCAGTGAAAAAGTATGGAATTGTAATCCTAAAGGGTCGCCATATTCCATTATTCCCGGGTAACTCTTCGCGCCATAAATTTTAAAGTAACACCGCTGTGTTATAAATACCACGGGCTTGTCTCTAACGTTCTATTAAACTATTATCAACAAAATTGTCAAAATGAAAATAACATGTATCTTTGAATGGTGATATTTCAAAAATTATCAAAAGGAAAATTCGATATAAACTCAAGGGTTGTAATTGTTATCATTTATGCCCTTTTTCCATCATTGTTTCAAACCCAGTCCCCCCAGTTAACTTACTCTTGAAGACTGGACACGAACAATCCAATTATGGGCAGAATGGCGGGGAAATGAAAGCCGTAGGTTTGCATTTGCTTAAGATTTCAAAAATTTCTTGGAATCAATGACCTATCTAAGCCTTAATCTGGTACATATAACATCTCAAATCTTTCTTGAACAAGATGCCGACGGTTTTTCAGACAGATTCACCTCCATCAAGTCCAAGAAGCCCACCTCGCAAAAGAACCAAGTTTTCATTGAAGCTTAAGAACAAGAAGAAGTCGCAGAGCGAGATCGAAAACAGAGAGAAGTTATGCCCAATATTTAGCCCCTCGACTGCTCAGAATACAAATGATGATGACGTATTGGAACCTCTTATTCCTCCTCCTTTTGCTGGACTGAAGAATCTTGGAAATATTTGCTATGCAAACGCTGTACTGCAAGTGTTGCGGTTTTGTCCCGGCTTAATGCAATCTGTCATGGAAATCGACTCACTCGTTAGAAAGCTATATCCCTCAAAATCAGCTGACGATGAACAGGTAATCTGTTACTTCGTGTCAGAGTTAGGTTATAAGACTTGATTTCTAGTCAAGGCCGAGAGATAGACACTCAATTAGTTGAGTCACGATGTAAGGAACGAACTTCCATTGGGGTACTGAAAGGGTTAACGATTTTGTGTTTTGGTCAAATGAAATAATTTTGATGAATGTGTTCACTCTATTAGTAGCAACCATTCTCTTCCCTTTCATTATTTTTTTATTATTATTACTATTATTACTATTATTATTATTATTATTATTATTATTATTATTATTATTATTATTATTATTATTTACCATATTACAAGCATTCCCTCTCTACAAGGCTTATATGCTCGGATTTGGTCAGGTTTGTAAAGGTTCTTCAAGGGTTAGGGTTACGTTCCCGTTCCCTGCAACAAGTGTGTGGGTTCTTTAATGTCCCCCTACTAACCAGTACTGAGGAGAAGCAGGAGACGAGGCCTATGACTTTTCCTCCTTATCCAAGAAGACTAGAATGTCTAACCATTTGCAGATATCATAGCAAAGGCAGCACATTCTCCTTTTTTTTAAGACTCTGAGTGTGGTTCCAGTCTGGATCTTGAACCCTGACCTCCCTCACAGTAGTCAAGCGCTCATCCACATGAGCTAACTAGGCAGTGGTTATTGACATATTGTTATATTGAGGACATCTGTCTAGATGCAAATGTAGGAATTTTCAGGAGAGAGAGGCTTTCTCGACTATCTAAAAGAAACAAAAAATTTACAGAGTGTACTAATTGTCCATAATAACTAACTCAATAAAATTCTGTTAGGGATAATTTAGGAAAATAGCAAAGAGCAGCTGAATCTTTTTGATTGTTATAAAATCAGTGACAACAAGAATCCCTTTCAAAGACTGCAGAACTTGTTTGATGATACAGTTGTTTTTACTGCAAACTGGGTATATGTTTCATTAACCCTCACATTTCATTACAAGGATTTCTTTTTTTTAATAGAAAAGAGCAGCTTAATCTGTCTAATTGTTGTAAATTTGATAACAGCAAGGATCCCTTTCCAAATCTTCTCCCCAAAGATTGCAGAATTTGTTGCATGATAAAGTTGCTTCTACCACAAACTGGGTACATAATGTTTCATTAACCCTCACACTTCATCAAAAGGACTCCTTAGTTTAGCACCTGAAGAACATTGTAGAGATCTTTCCTAGTTACAATGTGAATTTCACACAATATGTTTGTTATTATAAGGGCCCAGATAAAGACATAGACCCTTGTGGCATTGCTGGTAATGATCACAGAGCAGTTGTTTGCAAACTAAAAGAGGTGAGATAATTAGAGATTCCTTTCATTTTCATTGTTATTTGTGCATTGAAAGTCTCTGCTTAGTGTTACTAAGCAGAGACTTTCAAATTCATATACAGCTATTTCAATTTACGTTGTCGGATCAAAGCTTCAAGGGTACGGGACAAGACCGAAAGGCAGTATGGGTAGATTAGAATTAATTTTAGGCTTTCGGGGTTGTCGGCGCGAGATGGACATGGAGGCTGAAAATACAATTAGTATTGCCTTGCGCGTCTTAACAAAGAGCAACAAGAACAGATATGACTCCTATTAAGATCCCATATTCCCCTTCGGTCTTGTCTTGTAGGCTTGAGGCTTTGATCTGACAACGTAAATTGAAATAGCTGTATATATATAAATTTGTATAGACGTATATCACCATGACAAATTCATGTTGTGTTGTCTTACTTAGCTTTTCAGTGAGATGAATGAGCTGGAGCTGGATTATGGTGAGAACAAAGAGAATTGTGATCATCTTGTGCAAAGAAGAAATCATCTGATTCTTGCTGCAATACCTTGTGGCTTCATGGAGATGTTTAGGTTTGTTGTAATTTTCCATGTCACATTCCTCCTGAGTGTGTGGTCAGGGTGTGCTCTAGATAATGATGATTATTACCCACACAAACTTCCCAGCCTATTTTCCTGAAAAGCACATCTTGGTGCTTACACAAACAAACACCTACAAATGGTTAATTTGACCTTTAACCACTCTTTTCAATCACATGTCAACATTTTTTAAATATCTTCTCTTTGAACAGGAAGCAAAATCCAATATTTGAGGACAAACAGCAGCACGATGCCCAAGAATTCTTGTGCAGCTTGCTTGTAAATCTTCAAGATACAGAGAATGATGTTAAAAAGAAAATTGAAGATGCAACAGTTGTAAGAGATTTAGATGCCCTATTTGTCAATTCAAAGAGTAACAACAAAGTGAGCAAACATATAAGTAAAGTGGAAGAATTGTTTCAGGGACAACTTCTGCATCAGACTAAATGCATGACATGTGAAGAGGCCAAGAAACGATTTGAAAGTTTCCAAGATATCAGTGTTCCAGTTCAACAGGAGCTAAGAGTGTATGATGCAAAAACTGCTAACACATTTTCACCAACACCAAAGAAAGGACAAGATGGCAAAAGCCTTCCTTGGGCCCTGTCTCAGTTTGCCAGGATAGAACATCTGACAGGAGAAAACAAATACTTTTGTGGGAATTGTCTCACCCATTCTGAAGCTGAGATATCCACATGTTTTGACAAACTGCCAAGCATACTTACAATCCACCTCAAGAGGTTTACTGCGAACACTTTATTGGGGTAAGCCATCAGCAAAAAATAATTTAATACTATCAACAGTGTAACATATTAAGCTTATATTTTGGCAAACAACATATGGAACTGTGAATATTGGAAGGCAAAGTTAAGGAAAATTGTGATGAACAATGAATAAAATATCTTTTTCAAAAGAATTTGGCAAATGGCTGGATTGTTAACCTTCTTCAAAGGGTTAGAAAATGTATTGCTCTACTCACTAAAACTTTTTCAAACAACATTCCCCTTTCTGTTGTTGTTTTGGTCTGCTGTAGGTCCCTATTGTCAGAGTGCAACCACCTGATGTTGTTTTCTTTTCTTCAGCAGATTTTCATTAAACAGTGTTTCCAAGATAACTTCAAATCTTGAGACACCCATGGAGCTGTCTTTGAAAGAGTGGTGTTCAAAATCATGTCCTCTATCTAACCCTACCTACCATCTATTTGGCATTGTAATGCACAGTGGTATGACATCTTGCAGTGGACACTATCAGGCTTATGTTCAGGTGCCAAAACACTATCAGCATGGCAACACACAGGTATTGTCCTCTCATAATGGAAAGAAGGTGGACAGTTATGAAGCATTAGCTGCAGAGTTCAATTCAGACTTTTTCTCAAGTGCTGACAAACCTGATAAAATTCAACCCTTAAGTTCAGAAAGCACTGCTGATAAAGTAAAGACAACATGTATTTCTGGAATAACAAAATTCTTTCACAAATCAAAGAGGCATTCCACAAATGAGACTAACCCAGATGAGAGAACTGATGAAGAAAGCAAACACAATGGTGAAAAAGGAAGAAATTTTAGCACACCAACATACAACTGTGCAGGAACTGGAAAGTCAGTGAGTAAGATCCGCAGTTTTCAGTACCAAGATGGTGCAAAGTCTCACAGAAGTGCAATAAAGCAATTGAATTTCCAAGAAGAAAATGACAAACAACAGTATCAAGAAAAACAGATGCAGGGTGCTAGACAAACATCACATACTTGTACAAGTGTCACAGAAACTCAGGAATTACAATGGATTCATTTTGATGATGCTGAAGTTAGAACCATAGAGGAATCTGATGTAAAAACATTGCTGTCGTCATCTGAATCATCCTTCACCTCCCCTTACTTGCTGTTTTACAAGTTAGCTGAGCCATATATGATTTAATTTACTGCATAGAAGATGGATTGCTGGAGAAGATGCTCATTTTTGTGACTCAATTTAATCTTTATGTCTGCCATTGTCAAAAGGACAAGGCTTTGTATTCAATTCCACGACAGCATGATTCACCTTACCACAAATTTGTCTCTATCGGCTGGAACCTTTTGTGAAGAAATTATTTTACACAAATATAATTTATCATCATAAGTTCTACTCAATTGTTAATGATATTTTTTTAACTGTAATACTTGCCTTGTATGAATTAGGCAGTAAGTCACAATTTTTCATTCAAATGTGGAAGAAACTGAAACAATAAAATTCAGGATAGAGTCATACTTTGACAGATATTTTTGTATTAAAAATTTTAATCATCTTTCAAATATTTTTCTTTTCCAACTTTTAGAAGTTTGTAAGGTATAATTATTGAGTAACCCTTTCAATAGAACTAGGAATGAAGTTAGTATTTTATCAAGTGTCCATTCAGATGAAGTAGATTACTTGTGATTTACGTCTAAATCCAGTAACCATACAATGGTGTTAGATTTGAAAGCTCTGGCAACATGGCTTTCACTTTTATCTCTGTGAATCGGGCACCTTGGTGTCTCACTATTGGGACAAATACCTCCAGGAAGACGGCATTAAATTATATTGGTCCCACCAGCTTGGATCAACCTTCCGCTGAAAGGGTTCTGCCTAAAACTCACCTTTTAGAGTGAGCCATACCCACTAATTCACCATAGAACACTGTAGTTTGAGATTCAGGATGCCCTAGTGCCAAATCTGGCTATATTTAGTTGACTGTGCAACATTTCATACTGTGAGCTTAACATGATTTGTCACCTCTGCATTTTTCCTGTAGAATTAAAACCTATTAATGGTAAAAGGTATGGATTTGTAAGCTGAACACAGTTTCAGCATTCCAACAGAGAATTGTTTTAATGTCTGGACTTTGTTTATTGTCTTCTCAAGATGAGTTTACTTTATACAGGATTCACCATGGTTTAAGTTATGTTTCTCTTTGTTTAAGGATTATGGTAATGTATCTAAAACAAAGGAAAGTACAACTAAAACTTGTCTCAAATTATTTTGACCCTTTTCCTAAAACTAAAAACAAAGGCACAGAGTATAACTCACACAAACAAAAAATGCTTAGATTTTATTTATTTTTTACCCAACTTTATCATCATACCTAAAATTATGAGAAAGTTAAGATGAAATAAGTGCGACACATTGATCCCTCCAAGTCAGGTTTTAGGTAAAGAATAATCTTCCCTTACACTTGTCTCTGTTAATTAAATGGTGTCTTCATGGAATTCCTTTAATTCTGAAACTGGTACAAACATTTATTTTGCTCCTTTTGTAGCTTATAGCTTGGTGTTAAAAGAAAAACTTCTGAATAATTACCAAGCAGTTTTTAAACTATTAATTTATTTTTTCACTTTGAAGGTATGGTAAACTAGTTTACAGATTTCAATCATTTGCCAAAACTGCTGGTGTCTGTACAAACCCTACAATCTTGATTGAAATAAAAGCAATTAATTTCTTCAGCACTGTGCATAAATAAATATTCCGAATCTAATCCCAGTCAGTGTTTAGGTTTGAACTTGTCCTTGTCTTGCCGAAGGGCTCCCATCACATCTATTGGGTCTGATTTTCCTGTATATTTCTTCACATTTTCCTCACTAAAACAAAAGAAGTTCACAAGTTCAAAATAGCAAAGGCTAGTTTGTATTTTGAATTTTTCTTTTGCTTCAATGTTTTTAAACCAATTAAATTTGTGTTTCCCTGTCTCTGCTGATATGTTACTATAATAGATCCGAGAGGAAAGAGAAACAAGTTTCAGAATTTTTAAACAGGGAAAAACTTTGAACCACGACAGCAGTAAACAACATTTCTAAATATCTTTGCTTAATATCTTATAATAATAAGAATAATGATGGTTATATGGACAAAGATGACAACAATGGTCTAAAGAAATTCTCAAACTTCTACCCTAAGTAAAAAGCACCCTCAATTTGATAGATAGACAAATTTCTTAAAGCTGTCTGCTTTTTGTAGATTCTTTTAATGAAGTTATGAAGTCATAGATGAGTTTACTGTGAACCCTCAACAGCAGCCCATGGTAGACTTTCATCTCAAGAAAAGACAATGGTCGAATAATTATATCTTCCACTTTTAATTAGCTCTTTGCCATTTAATAGCAAATTAAGCTTTAGAACTTGAGTTACTGTAGTAAACACATTCTCTGGAGCATTTATTAAATGTACAAAATTTTAAAATGCAACTTACTGAACTCTCATAAATGGGTTAAATTTGAGCTCCTTGCCAATAGAGGATGGAACTGTTGGTTCATTTGCTTCTCTTTTGTTCTAAAATAAATTGATTATATTTAACTTTTAAAATGGATAACTAGAATGTGAATCCATGCTATCATTACCCGCTACACAAATACATTGAGAAAAAAAATGTAATTTGTTGAGGATTTAAATGCACATTGTACCATTTTTAACAACTATCAATTACCTTAGACCACTCAATATGTCTGAGAATTTCTGGGTTTTCAGGTTCAACATGAACAGCATACTTCAGATTATTCACTGTGTACTCATGACCACAATAGACCAGCTGGAAAATAAAGTTGTTTACTAATAATAATTAAACATTTTCATTCTCAAGATCTCAAAACTGAATCTCCTTTCTGTCTGCCAAACATCTTTCATACTTTTTGCCTGGAGAATTTGTGTTGAATTAAACAATATCAGCCATGCTTAATGTTTTTCTCTGTTCTCATCACCTTTCTGCCGTTAATACAATGATATAGAAGGGATAAATTATTATATGGTTTTTCTAAGGAAGGAAAGAGTTAACAAAACATTTTATTTTTGTATGCTCCATCAAGAATATCATTAGTCAAGAGTGTAGCCCACAGTACACACATCATGCCAGCCATGTTTGATTTGAAGTTAGAGTAGATGGTTGGGGGTGGGGGGAAGGGGAAGGGCAAGAAGACTTCACTCCCCTCCCCCACCTATCTCCTTATTTTTGACTATTGGCCATCATATCTTGGTACAAATTTCTTTCTCTCCCAAGCCATCTGCTGCCTTTAAAATCAAACATAGTGGCCATAATTTTTGTTAAGAAAGTACTGAGCACTTGCTTGCCAAAATTATGCCTGCTCTGCAGGCTATCAGGAGTACAAAGAAATTAAATTCACAGCACATTTCAAATTAATGAATAATTAGTATTATAATTACAGTTATGAATTTCACTTGTCACCTTTTGTTTATAAATACTCACAGTATCCGCGGGTAATTTTCCAAGTATCTCAATTAAGGCCCTATACATTTCTGAAGGATGCCCTTCAAAGAATTTTCCACAGCCTGCCACAAAGAGGGTGTCACCTCAAAAAAAAAAACAGATACAAAATGGTTGACTGACAACAGCGTAAGCCTGCATCAGTCAAATGGGGAATGTACGACACCCAATGCAGTCAGTGCAAAACACAGACTGCAGACTGAAGATGAAGGGCAGACTGAGAGTACAATGCAGACTGAAGACTATGGATCAATGCAGACCCGGTTCTAAAACAATCCGTTTCCCTGGAAATACTTCAAGAGTGAGCTGGGATTGAGGCCGCATAAGTTGTGAGAGGCTGTCAATAATGGTCATGACAATTGATGTTTTGCACTTCACTGGTTTTGGCGGGGATATATTGTTTTAAGGTAAGAATGATTAGAAATGCAAGTGTTTGAATATGCAGTTCACAACCAGCTAAAAACATTATTTCCTTGTTAGGGAATAAACAGTTCTGTTGAGCAACATTAGGTAGCTTTAACATACATGTAGCTCATGTAAACTTAGTCTGACCTTGAAAGTAGTATCGATAGACTTTCATCACACATCAGCAATTTTGATTACTTGGATGTAATAAAAACCTGTTTCTTGTACCTTAGTTTTGCGCTGCAAAGTTAGGCATGCAAATTCTTTAAATTTAGTGCAAATTTGTGGGTGCAAAATAAAAGTCTAATTAAAAAACTCCAAACAATATCCCCAGGTGTTTGCGTTTCTTATTCCACTTGGTGTTTCACTTCAGTATTAATGCGAGGTAAATCTGTGGCTATCATGGTCAACTTGACCTGATGCTTGAGAAATTTAGTTTTGCTGTGACATATTTTTATTCACTGGAAAATTGGCACAGTCTTCCATGAATTGATTGAAACAAATTGAGAGCAATAAGAAGTCTCAAGTTCTTTTTAAGTTTAATCATTGAGAGAAACCAGAAATGTTCATAAATTTCACACATTTTTCATAACCCGTGATCTTCAGTCTTCAGTCTGCATTTCACCCCTGGTTTTCAGTCTTCAATCTGCATTTTACCCTCAGTCTGCATTTTACCCCTGGTTGCAGTCCGCAGTCTGCCATTTACACTGACTGACACCCAATGCAAGTAATACAATCACTGTTTTCTCAGTATTAAAAAATTAAAAGAAATATTCCAATCTTGAAGAAAAAAATTCACCTTATGGGCCACCTGATATGCCAACAAGGTAGTTATGAAGCAAAACAGGATGTTCCTTACCTGTGAACACGGCACTTGGTTGGCCAATAACAACATAGCAGATGTGCCCTCTTGTGTGACAAGGTGTAAAAAGACATTTGACATCAAGGCTTCCAATCTGAACAACACACAACAGTCATCAGCCAGCTGTCATTGGGCATTGCTCAGCCAGACATTTTTCCTCAGTTACTATAATAAGCTTCAAGCAAGTCTATTTGATATTGGTATATAGGATGCAAATTTACTATATCATGATTTATCAAACCTTTAACTGATCACCATGAATAACTTTCTTGTTCAATGCACCAATTCTGTCATCACCACCACAAACTGTCAGCCCCTTCACAAGTTCAGCTAACTCTGCATTTCCACCTGCATGATCCCTGACAGAATAGGGAAACTCATAAGTTAATGAGTAAAGCTATCAACACCATCAACAATAGAAACAGCCATCCACCCTGCCAAACATAGATACAGCTATCTACCTTGTCATACATATATGCAGCTATTACACTGATGACAGTAGATAGAGCTACCTACCCTGCCAAACATAGATACAGCTATCTACAATGTCAAAAGTAGTCATACAGCTATCTACCTTGTCAACAGTAGATACAGCTATCTACCCTGTCAACAGTAGGTAAAGTGATCTACCCTGTCAACAAAAAGATACAGCTATCTGCCGTATTTACCTGTGTATAATGCGCACTTTTTTTCTATAAAAATAACCATTGAAATTGTGGTGCGTATCATACATGGATTCCATTGTTTGTCAAGCACATCCTAATTTGCATACGTTAAAAACACAACAAAAATAAAAGTGCACGGATCGGTGGCCTGGGGAGGAGAAAAAGCTTGCTTGTTTACAACTGTTGAAGCTCACATGACAGATACTGTAAACGTGTCCTTCAAACCATATTTGAAAAAACCATTTAAAGGTGGAGTCTGGAAGCAGTGGATGACTGGTGGTATTCATGAATTTACTGCCACTGGATGACAAAAGAAGGCTTCTAAATAACTGATTTTTTTGTGGATTTCGCAAGTGTGGAAAGCTATTCTGTCAGAAATGATTGCTGCCTCTTTCCTGAAGTGTGGGACCACAAACAATTGGGATGGATCACAAGATGAATTGGTTTACAATTCAACCGAGATCACTGATGAACTTGATGATTCAGTCATCAAAAACCTATTTGAATCGGACTGCAAGTTGGAATTTGAAGGTTTCATTGTTTAGAGACACTGAACATTTTATTTAAATCGTACGCAATGCAGTGATGATATTCAAGCAACCAGCAGTGCTGTGATCATGAGTAGAAATAATGTTTATGAATTGTTGTTATGATAATAATTCAAGTTGTGAATTTAGGCATTTGAATAAGGACTTCAAGTTACAACATTTGTAAAATGTTTGACTGTAATTGAATAGAAAAGCTTGTAAATAGGTGCTCTGTGCATGCGATATTTGTAGTAGCAACTAGTTAGAAAATGTTGTAAACGTATTATTGATGAATTTCCAGCTCTTGTTAATTAAATGGAAAAACGGAAGTTTTAATTTTTGGTGTTTGTCTTGAAAACTTATTTTTAGACAAAAGAGGTAAAAAATTAGGGTGCGTATTATACACAGGCGTGCATTATACACAGGTAAATACAGTACCCTGTCAACAAAAGATACAGCTATCTACCCTGTCAACAGTAGATACAGCTATCTACCCTGTCAACAATAGATACAGCTATCTACCCTGTCAACAATAGATACAGCTATCTACCCTGTCAACAATAGATACAGCTATCTACCCTGTCAAAAAAAGATACAGCTATCTACCCTGTCAACAATAGATACAGCTATCTACCCTGTCAAAAAAAGATACAGCAATCTACCCTGTCTAGAATAGATATAGGTATCTACCCTGTCAACAATAGATACAGCAATCTATTCCGTCAATGATAGATATAGCTATCTACCCTGTCAACAAAAGATACAGGTATCTACCTTGTCTAGAATAGATACAGCTATCTACCCTATCTAGAATAGATACATGTGTCTACCCTGTCAACAGTAGATAGAGCTATCTGAACTGTCAATAATAGATACAGCTATCTTCCCTGTCAAAAAGATACAGCAATCTACCCTGTCTAGAATAGATATAGGTATCTACCTTGTCAACAATAGATACAGCTATCTATCCCGTCAATGATAGATACAGCTATCTACCCTGTCAACAAAAGATACAGGTATCTACCCTGTCAACAGTAGATAGAGCTATCTGAACTTTCAATAATACAGTTTATACTGTCCACAATAGATACAGCCATCTACCCTGTCAACAGTAGATACAGCTATCTACCCTATCAACAAAAGATACAGCTATCTACCCTGCAAATAAGATACAGCCATCAACCCTGTCAACAAGAGATACAGCTATCTACCCTATCAACAAAAGATACAGCTATCAACCCTGTCAACCGAGATACAGCCATCAACCCTATCGACAAAAGATACAGCCATATCTACCCTCAGTTTCTAACCATAGATACAGGATGTGACTAGACTGCTGTACATTTTATAAACAGTCTGAGTGGGGAATAAATTAAGTATTCCAATGTGGTCATATAGAGCGTATAAAGCATAGTACAGAGTAAAAGATGTATATGACAAACTTACTATGAAATGTTCTATCATGAAGTATAAACCCTACATTTGATTAGTGGTCACTTACCAATGATGATGAGTAGTTAACACAGTTGTTAGTTTTACTCCTTCTTTTTGGACAGCATTAACAACCTGTTACAAATTTATGAATAATTTGGTATTATAAACTGAGTTGATAACATAAATTGGCCACGGTAAGAAGTTTAAAAGCTGACATTTCATGACAAAGGGTTGACGCTCAAAACATTAGCTTTGAATTTCTTTTCAGTGCCCAATTTACATTATCAACTTGGTTGATAATACTTCCCTGTTACCACTCACTGACACAGCACCACAGTTTCTTTACAAACTTACCCCTTTTATTTATTTGTTATAAATAAAAGCCTGTGATAATGTAATAACCATAGTGTAACATCAAATACACTTATCAGTGATTGTCTCATGACAATGCCTGCTAGTTTTCCTTAAGCAATGAGGTCAAAAAGTCCCCAGGGGACCACTGAGAGAATACATCTTAAAAATGCACCAATCACAGCTATTATACATCTACCAATGACAGCAGAGTATAAAGGAACTTCATAAGACAAAACAGTAGTGATAGCTAAGTTTCAGGTAGAATTCATTTCAAATTTAAGAAATAATAGTAAGTAAAACTAGTAAATACATAGAGATTAAATAAATACAAAACCTTTTTAGGTTCCACAGGATCTACTATGGCAGCTTCTTGTGTTTTCTCATCAACAACAAGGTACATGTAGTTATCAGAAAGAGCAGGAAGTATGTGAACTTTCATGTTTGTGTGAACAATGCTTACTGGATTTGAATGGCTCTCAGCCGGCAGGGTTTGCAAGAGACGATTGCCTATGTTTCTGTAACTTCCTGGGAAATTTAAGGAAAATCTCGAGTAATGAATAAATAACAAAATTATCAAAATCACTATTATTAATTAAATATCTCTAAAGGAATTTTCAGTGAGTATCATTTCAGTACATTTATTTTTACTGAGCAGCCTTCACACTCATTCAACAAAAGATGATTAATACTTAGTAGATAGGCAGACATTAATGATAACATATATTATTCAGATAATCTAGCCTGTTATTACCTGTTTAAATAACATGTTACCTTTATGGTCTAAACTACATACAGTCAGTTCTCTCAAGAATTAGAAAAAGGGCTCGTTAAGTGGACACCAAAGAAAAATAGGGGGTGTTAATTACATGCCAGATGAACTGACAGCTTGCTTTCCTGCAGGCAAATGAAGATTTCACAAAACCGATCCCAACTGTTCTGTTGCTCTGTCAAGGTTGTGTTTTTGTCGATTTGCAAATTAAAGACAAATTTTATTGCCAAGAGTCAAATGTCAAGCACAGGGTGTCCACCTATGAGAGTGCATAAACAAAAGAAAAATCTAATTTTCACTTTCAAAAAGTGTCCACGTCTGCGTACAAGAGAGAGTCCACTTGAGGGAACGTGTAAATACAGAGGTAAAACATGTCTAAGTAGAGCTGTCGGCTTACAAGAGTGCCCATTAGCAGAGAGTGGACTGTAGCTGACTTTATAGTGGTAAATCAGTGAAACAATTTTTTTTTTGTTTTTGTTTTGAAGGGTAAGGTGGGAGGGGAGGGTGGAGATTCAATTAGAGTTGTTAGCACCCAAGGTGGTATTCCTTAAATGAGCATGAATAAATATCAACATTTAGAAAACAGTGAAAGAAATGTGTCTCAACCGCAATGCACAAACAAAGCGTCCAAGAACTTATAATGTAACGCAAGATATGAGTCGAGTGCGTGATATCCCGACTATATTCAGGAGGGGTGCAACTAAATATAAATAGTGTTTACGATACAAAGTTGTACAATGTAATCGGTGAAACATGCGATTGTTTCATCACAATAAGTGACAAAAAAGCTAAACACGAAACTAAAATTGATTACAGAAGACTTACCAATCGATGTAATACGTTGAACACCTTTTAAGGCGAAGCCAATAAGACGCGTCACCTCTCGTAGCCGCCACATTGGTTTTACCTCATGTAAATTATACAAAATATCTCACTATTCTGGGAACTTAGCTCCAGGCCACCGTTTGGTGTGTTTCACGGCCTAATTTCCTCACCAAGTTTGAAATGAAAATGCTTGAAGACATGTCAGAGTTATGTTTGATAGTAAGGAAATATTTTTATAGGTCACCGGTGTCTGACTTCTGGCGATGTCTGTAGACAGAGACCCGAACGAAAATGATCGGGGTCCGAGCGGCGCTGAAGTCCTCGCGTCATTAATCACAGACGCTTTGGAGAAAGCTAAACTGGTGAGTTGGTCTCAATCATTCTTCATAAAACTTTCAATTATAGTGGAAAAAAATACCAAGCGGTAAATTGTGGAAGGTTTCACAAATACTTATTATTTTCCCGGTATTTAGGCACTCCAGCCGGCAATATTCTTTTGTTTTAAATTCTCGTTTTTTGCAAAAACTATAGGGGACTGGAACTGCCTTCCTCAGGCCATTGTTTCATCAACCTCCTTAGAAACTTTTAAATATAGGTTATCAGCTTTACTTTAATAATATTTGTATATAGTTCATATAGTTTCCTTTGCTCAACTTTTATATCATTCATTTATATACTGATATATCTGTATTCTATTCATTTACTTATTTATTTATTTATTTGTTTTTTATTTTTTTGGTTGGTGTGATATCTTAATGATTTTATTGACCCAATGCATGTAAATATAAATGTTTACCCATGAGACAAATGCATTTAGTAAATGTTATGTTTTCCCAACAATCAAATACCACTATTTAACCTCATTAATTCAGCAACTTGGTATCTTGTTAACTTAGGGGAAAACTAAAGATTATGATCTGTTGGTTCAGAAACTTGCTGACCCTGGAATCAAGGTAACTTTGGTGAACAATATAATTACATGTTTTTCCCTTCAAATTCGACCCAACCAATCAGTTCCAGTTTACCCTTATTGTTGCATGCTCACCCCACTCCTAAAAACAAAACATAACAACAAATTGGCTTTTCCTCAGAACTTCAGATCACAATAAAGGGGGAAAAAGTTAGTGCTCAGTACCAGTACTTTGTTAGAGCCTGTGTTCACCACTAACTTCCACTTAAATCAGTTTAATCTAGAAATACATGCCTTTTGCTGATTTTTTTGTGTTTCTCTGGCCGGGTTGTTATAAGCTGGCTTTAGATAACTCAAGGCTAGTGTGAAATCTTATTTCTAATCTGAAGGTCTTAAAAGAAAATTTAATACAATTATATTAGTCTACAATTTGATCATTGGATGCCCTTAAAAGGATAGAGAAAATAATCCGAAAAATGCTTTTGAGCAGAGGAATAAAAAAACAGAAATTTAATTTGGGTTAGTGCTAATCAGCAATGAGGTCCTGGTATATATGATAGAATTTAAAAAATTGAATTTCCAGTGCCTGATCAAGCAGTATAGCAATGCATTGGATAAAGTATTGTATGTAGCATTGACTTGGACTTTTGGCTGATCAGAAGAAATCTTATTAAATCATGCTGGTGATTATATGGAAAGCAGCTTAATTAATGTGTTGGTACTGATTTCTACTAACCCTTGCATCATGTTAAGAATTCAGTTGTATAGATAGCCAGATTGTAGACTGCTTTAAGTTAAAATAAATAAGTGATGAAGCTATTTTAATGTTCCAAATTGTGCAGCAGTGAAAGAGATTTAGCTTATCTTAACACCATTAAAAACAAATCTGAATTTCTGGTAAGCCTATTTATTTTGTTGATCTTCTTTGTAGGAAGTCCACTTGCAGAGATATCTTATGGCATTAACAACTTGTGTTTCTCATCTCACAAAGCAGTATGATACACTAGTTGGTGCAGTTCTGGTAAGATAAAAAAGAAAAATTGCATCCTTTTTTAATTTTCAGATATGCTTTTTTTCATCAATATTCTTTGAATAATAATGTTATCACTGACTGTTATTTTGCACCTCCATCTAGACAGTGTATTATACTCAGTCCCAAATTTGAAAGTCTGTTTTGAGAAATAATAATTTTCACTCATTATTGTTTTATTGATTTTATGAACAGTATTCAATTGATAATAAAATTATCACTTATGTTGATATTATCATGGAATTATTACAATTTTAGAATACCAGATGGGCACTATGTGGTGAGAAAACAGTGGAAGAATTTATTGAATTCCTGACAAGCCTTGTGTCTGCCCAGACATATTACTTAAGAGCATGCCTTAATATGATTGTCAAGCTCTTTATTCCATGTAAGATTTCCTCAATAAAGAAATCTTTGTAGTTAGTTTATTAAATGTAATGAATATTAACTTGTTGAATTATATTGTTTATTGTCAGTATGATAAATTTTAAAATTATTTAATGTCAGTCTGAAGCATGTCTTAAATGTATTTATTGGATAAGAAAATGAATAAAATATAAATAGTTGTGAATAAGTGAAATATAGTTTAGGCAAGTTGACTATGAAAAAATTAAAAAAGAAAGCAAAATCCAAAGTATTGCAAGTAATTCCCGTAGAGTATCGTCTAGTTTTTGGAAACATGTCTTGTCCTGGTTGCATGATTATAGCATCTCTGTTGATAACCTTAGAGAGGAAGATGTCATTTTTTGGTAAGGTCGATATTGCAGAGGATTTTCTCCTGTTTAACCATATTTTGCTTCTGGGTAAGTTTTATATTTACTCTCAGAAATACCAGAATGGTATACCTTCTATCCAAGGTTTAATAGCCAGGACAAGGCGTGTTTACAATACTAAACTCCATATTGCTGGGAAAAGAGACAAATTAAACAATCATTTTAGAAAGTGGGAAAAGTTAATAAGCATTTTTATGAATAAGTGATGTCATGACTAATTTTCATCATTAGTTTTAAAAAAGTGATGTCATTGTAATTTACATACTAGGTAACTGTATTGCTGTAATAGCTTTGTGTGTGTTTAGCTTGGTATTCTATTTGTACCACATAAGTGTGTGTATGGGTGTGTATGTGTGTGTGTCTTTTACTCTTTTTTTTTTCTTTCTTAATTTCCATTTTGTATGTAAACGTAAGAAATGCTTAAAAAAAAAAGGTAATGTCTAGTGTGAATGAATGAATTTTTAAATATAGTACAATCTTAGAATGCAAAATTATTTTCATGGACAAAAGATGATGGTAAAAAGCAGTTTATCTTGACAAGGTCATGAAAATAAAATTGAATGATGTTATTTATCTTATCCACAGCCATTTTTCGAGATGTGCAAGTAGAAAAAGGTGATTCTGAAGGTATGCATGAGGATCCAAACTTACTGTACCAACTAAACTACTGCAACTTGAGAGGTGGCAATTTTGCACCCACTGAAAGTGAAACATCTAAAAACATTGTTTTTATTTTGTTCATGCTTAATACTGGTTTTTGCCCAACACTGATTATATATATCGTTTTCAGTAATTAATACATGTCAAAAAAAGAATGTTCACCAAAGGTGAACATTCTTTTTTTCACCAAGAATGTTCAACAAAGGTGAACATTCTTTTTTTCCATGGATTTTTAGTTATGAATTAATTGTTGATAAAACATTTCTTTCAGTTTCTGAGAAAATATTTTGTAATGCCCATGAAGCCCTTCATGCTATCCATCAAGTGGTTCCAGCGTAAGTTAAAGCTAATAAAATTTTTTAACTTTTCAGTTTGGTCTCAGACTATACTTGTCACATTAGAACCCTTCAGTTTTGAAAGCCTAAAGATTGATCAAACTACAACTTTGGAAAAATGTTTGATAAAAATGTGACAAGGAATCAAGATAGGATAGTTCCTGCCGCCAGTTCCTATCAGCCTGGTCCATGTAATAAGATATAACTATGCTTACATGTTTGAAGCTGGAATATCTTAATAATTTTGTTTCAACAGAGTTCCACAGTTTTTGATATCTGTACTGTCAGAAAATTTTCCATTTGTGAGAAAACCTACGATATTTCAGGTAATTAATTTTGTGATTTAGGTCCTACTGCTAATTGCTTGTAGTTCAGCAGCCTTTACTTATACATTTTTCAGAATTTTAAATTTGTATCATATCTCTATATTATCAAACCATTTTAAATATTGATCAATTGAACTTTTTCTTATTATTTAGATCTGAAGGGCTTTTCACAGGAAAGGGAACTTTAGCTTTGTGTTTTATATAGTTTAAAAGGTGTTTGCAAAGTACAGTTACAATCATTATTAATAGTATATACTTACTA